AAAGAACAGGCAAGTTCTCAGTCCATTACTGTCAGCCAACCCAAAGCACGTCATGAAACCCGAGTTCTTCCTTATGTTAGCCGGTTGTGATATGTACAGCCTCTAATCACGTCTTTTACGACATGGTCTCATTGTTTCCCTGCCATAATGCCCCACCAACACGTCGTTCTTGAGGGGCACCGATCAAGTCAGGGATATTCGTCCGAGTTAATCAAACTCTCGTACGGCCACATTACTACATAAACCAGAACGATACGGTTGCAGTGGACCCGCAAAATACACACAAACGTTAAATGTGCATACACGGCATTGCGTTCCGCATCGCCATCTCGGTGCATCACAATACGTTGTAAGTACAACTCTGTATACAGGGGAGATTTGCATATATCAATATCAGAACACAACTCAGAGCTATCAGCGCCAGAAATCTCAATGGTAGAGCATACGTGCGAAAGCCTACGGGTGCAAGTGATGAGATCATAGCCAACTGATAGGCACCTTGAGGCCTTTCTGCATTTTTTCTTCAAGCTGAAAAACTTGCTATCTTTCGCAACCAACGCGCAATAAATCCGCAATGGTTAAGACCCCTGAAGAGTCTAAATAGAACTCGCTTGAACTTACTTTATACGGATTAGATCCAAAGGTAAACCGGCAATTGCTTAATGGTGCGGACCTGAATTAGACGGATGTGCCGCGGACGGCAAATGTCGATCTTCGGTTCGGGGACTAGAGCCCCAAGTCCGGAATTAACACTCCGTTAAAGACAACCGGGTATATCTGTCCTTGAAGCAGGGCTACGCTTGAAACGATCAAATTCCAATTCTAGAAAGGTATTCGAGATGAGTACATCAAACCTATGCAGATCATGATTCGAAGCGACATCATCATCGGCACTGATGAACAGACGGATTTTATAGGTAGGGTCATTACTTCGACATGTCGTACGACAGCCGGCATTCAACGGTGTGCTGTACATGTATATTAACGCACGCCCAGCCGCGGAATAAACCACAAGCGCGCGAAAGTCACTCCGTTTTCCAGATTGGTTATTACTGGATCTTTGGTTGGGACGTACTAGATTCCCCACGTACCAATAATGGGCTAAGTTGATATTAGACGGATTTCCGATTTGGTCTTCAAATTGAGGGTTGTTTCTGTCGAAATTGGAGCACATCGATATCCCAGGAGTCTGGGCGCTGATACGAAACCTTCGCTTTTTCCATTGCCGTTACACAAGGCGCTGAATATAGACTTCTTGGGATGTGGATACGACTGCAGGGTAGTATGCCGATAATATTCGGTCATTGCCCTTTCTGTCAGGAGCAGGGTTTTCCTACGGAGATTCGTGGATATGCCATGCTTGTGGGTATGTAACTAAGGCTCTGCTGTTGCTTGGTACTGTACCCTAGATATCCGACAGGATAGGTACTCATGCAGCCGAAACCGCGGAAACATATCTCATTCCTCCAAAGTTCTCAGCATCAGACCATAATCCTACGCTAGGGGAGGCTCCAGGGGCTGGCCCACAGTCATTCAGAGAGGAAGGTGAGATGAGCAGCATCCTATGACTTAGCGTTCAAGCCAGTTCGTCCCCTAAAGGAGATCAGTTTTTGTTTTCGAATAGTCAATACTGAGAAAACACTGAAGAGAATGCATCAATCAACACGGTTAACTTTTGGTCCATGCACACGAGTCAACTGCCGTCAACCAGGCTTCTCGAAAAGAAAACTCGGAATCCTATACATACAGGATAATAACGCCTTGTATTGGCCTGCCGAATTGTTATCCGAATTGAGACAATTCATACGACTGTCTAAAAGCAGGGACACTGCTGACACCCAATGCAAATCTTGATTGGAGGACAAAGTGAATACCATATGTACTTCGATCCTTCAGTTCGGCACTTTGAGCCTAATAATATAAGTGAGGGTAATTCCAGCTAGGGGGTGCACTGACAACCAGGAAGCAGTCATGGCAGTTTGTCGTTTCCTGGGTGTATCTCTCTTTTGACCAATTATACATGATTCGGAGCTATACCGAGGTTTGACAAGGGATCGCGGCTCAAGAGCGATATGCGCTCGTTGTATTGCAAAAATCGTTTACGTCTTCCCCGCTGTCACTCGTGATCTCATCCCTGGTTCGGAGATTGATGGCCTTAAATCTTTCTTGATTCGGTTATCCCTTCAAAACAGAGGTTGCCGTACCTGGTTTAAGCCGCTCAGTAGTCACTTATTGACTGGACATGATTGTTCTGAATCAGCAACGCGAATTGAAATTCAGAGACACAGTTGTTACTCTGATTTGTTTTGCTCAACAACCTGCTGGGCCTCTGTGTCTGCAGCTGTGACAATAACTTCAACAACACCACGGAAGTACGGATACATCTTTAGAGTTTACTAGAACTGAAAGCTCTGTCGATCAACAACTATGACCCTGGATTACGGGCTTCTAGCTTGTCATCGTCCATGAGTGAGGCTTTACTCAACAACCAAGCCAGCGATGAATCCAAGCATAGACGCACATGTGATAGCATGCTCTATCCTGGATCATTTACGACAGATTCAAGTCTAGCGCCGGCTCTTTCACCCGATCTGGATCAGCGACAAAGTACCGGCGTCCTAATACAACGACGGCCCACGGTCTTCCAGACCCTTCATACGTTATCCACTATTAAATGGGTCGCAATTTTTTGTTCTTTCTCTATCTCTGACGGTCATTTTGATTCCCCTAAGGCTGGCTGAGTCATTGGCAGTCGTGTTTGGATATGCGCATTGACTCGGCGAATGTTCGTCGGCACATCGCTCAACTTACACACACGGCATTATCTAGCAGGCTAGGCCTAGCGTTGGGAAGAAAAAGAGGAAGAAACAAGTTGGAGATCCGAGGTTGATGCATATCAATCCCGTGTTGTAGCGGCCCTCGGCTGGGGGCAAAACATTGACAAGCAGGCGGGCGCACCTCTATAGTATTTACAGCCCTTTTAACATGCCTCGCTGGCCTAGTAAGACGCAATATCACTCTGACACGGCCGAGAATGACGCCGGGGAGTGCAGGTTATCCAGCTCTCGGCCCCGGTTATGATCTCACTGTTAGAATACCTATCCTGGGGTCTTGGCTACATCGTACCTACTGCGATGGTGATACTCACTGGATCTTCCAACAGGCTTGAGTGACGGTTCGATGTTGACTGCACTGCTACGGTGATATGGGATTGATCAGCGCAAAAGAGATGGCAACCAGTTTAGTTTCCATCTCAAAATATTGAAACCCTTATGCGGCTCGCCCGGGAGATATTTCCGCTCTTCCTGCATCTTTGATGATGTTAAGCGAGCGACAAGGTTTTTGGAACGTCTGGGGTCGGGCGGCCGAAATCACGTACAATACGTAAAGCTGGGTCAGGTACCGTATGTATGTACCGAAGAGAGATCTGTGGCGCAGGTGTGTACGCTCTGAGACAAAGTGATGAATGACACTGACTCTTTGTCTCAGCTACCGACAAAGCCACAAGGACTGGACTGTCAAAAGCATTGAGGTGCCGGGCCCAAGACCTTAACTATCTTAGTGTGTTTCCGTGCGCGCGCTACTCGGCATTTCGTGAAAGTCCGCAACGTCGGGTAACTGTATCCAAGATGAACAACAGGTAGAGCAGATCAGAGCAGAGCAGAGCAGAGAGTAACTACCGTAATAGCAACAATGAAGCAGACAAGAAAGAGGCTTGTTCGAGTCAGCCCGCCTGGAGTCTGACCGAACCCTGTCTGTGCCATTCTGACAGCGAGCGGAGCTCCGACGCTGTGTCTTGTGCAACATTAACACAAATACGGAGTACAACATAACATTACGCTTGACTTCTTGGCACAAGTCGCTAACTGGTGCTGCCACTGTCGATTGTTATGTCGTTGGTTGTTAATGTCTCATTGCACCTCAGCAGCTCGGGAAACCTTTTCCATATCTTTTGTACAGTGTCAGTATAGACAGAATTGCTGTCAAAGAACTGTACTGGAATCCTTCACCAAACGGATCATCGCTGGTTTGACGGTATACGGTTCAGCCCCACCGGCACTTTCTCACACCAAACCTATTGTTGCTGTGATTCCGACGTTCTGGATCCTGGCAATGCAATAGATATATACCCTGCATACGGGCCACAACCGCGGTCACCCAACTGTTGAAACCGGTAATACGGTATCAGACGAGAGAAGGCCGGCCTACGAACAGGTATCCCAAACTGTCAACAAGAGGCATGTGGCGAGAAACCTCGCCTCAATTAATAGTTGTCAAGGTAAGGCGTCCCTGGAACCTGGATTGGAAATGGGAATGAGGACCAGCTAGCCTACCACTTGGACAAAACCCAGTTCTTGTTAGCCACAACCGCTCAGGGGAGGGGGTAGCATCATTGCTAATATGATATCTTTGTTGGTGAGAAGATGATGATGAGGTGACATTGACAATGCCAGAACAGAGACCTACGAGGAACCTCTAGCACATGCCAATGCAACAGTGTCATGCTATGTACGTCTTCGTGAATTCTGACTGACTGCCTGGTTGCAGGGATTGTTGGGATGTAGGTTAGGTGAGTTGGGGTTTGTGTTTATGTTCCCCTGTGCTTTTCTCCTTGTTGAATTCCGGAGACGAGATTAGGTTGATGCAAGATGGCAATACGTGCTTGATTTATAGGTTGTCTAGAGGTTTTTTGTACCAGTAAAGTCTTAACTGATCCTTGTTAAGCTGGTGATAGGAGTATTTGTGCTTGAGTTACTGGGCCTTTCAGTCCATACGTTATTTATGATGTGTTAAAGAATTACCCATTTACACTAACTCTTGATTTTGATAGAAGATTCTTGAATTATTATTTATCATTTCGTATGGAGTTTTTATCGTGTTATATATACTTGAGTGAATGATAAAAGAGTGTCTGTGAAGGTATGCCCCTGACCATGTCACTAGACAATCGACTGGACTGCCATGTATCAAACGCCCCTATCTAAGAATTAAACATAAACTCAAAACCCATAGAGATGATAAAGCCAGACACCGGGAATTTGCAAGTTGATCCAGTGTTCATGTGCTGAAGCCGTTCTGCTGCTCACTACGGTACCCCCTGAGGAGACTGGATAGAGAAGTAGCCTAGAGACGAAACTCAATCAGTTACCAACACAGCCAGAAAGCATTTCAGCAAGCATTCGATTGATCGCGATGGATTTAGCTTCATAAGAATCTCGTTCTTCTTTGCAAGTCTGTAGCGACTGATGGTTATGAGACCCAGCGTCACAACGGTCGGAGGACTTCGGGCGGGTGACTGGTTTTACGTCTTGGGGCATAGACCATGTAGTCTCTCGAGTAACCATCAAGAGTCTTAGGAGGCACTTAGGAGTAGTTTAACCAAAGTAGGAGAGGGCCAAGCACCGGTTGTCACTTGGCTTGACATCTGGTCTGGGAATGAAGGACATTCGAGGTCACTCAATGATTTCTCACCCACACTTCCTTGTCTCAAGATACTGTTACTTGAGTAAGTTATATGATATTATCTACATGATTTTACTATAATTTGGGTCTAAATTGACATAAAACTTGACGTGGGACAATGAATCTTCTTCGTTCATGATGCAATAGAACTTAGCAACGTCAAACCGACCGCCACTCTGTGCCTTACCTGGCGGATTCAGCACTACACATGGTGTTTTTTTTTTTAGCACAATGGCGATTGATCTGAAGTATTGAAGGGATTGAGTGTTTGTCTATAGACTTGATGTTAACTTACATACCTATGTAGAGATAGGTATAAGTGACAAGTCGGACTGTTTATTGTAATACTGGAGTCCGATTCTCTTTGCCCAGCTCACGTCATTTATTTCAATCCAAAGAGTATGGAGTTGTCATTCAACGCGGGTGAAATCGCACGCGCTGGAATAAAGTCGTACGAGTTTCTGCAACTCGATAACCAACAACACAATTAATTGGCCAAGGGAGAATGGATCAGATGACGGGTTCTACGCGGGGTATAAACTGGATGAGTATAAGTCTGAACTCATTGGCAGTGTTGTATTCCACTGAGTATAAGTATAGTTGTCATTGCATTTACATAGCCCATCTTCCCAACCTTTTGCAATCAGCATGACAACTCAACTCACTACTCTCACCAAATTCTTCCGCGATGTTCCACCTCGAAACCAACTCATTCTAATCGCAGTAACAAGTGCCGTCCTCGGTATCCCAGTATTACGCATTGCCGTCGAGGACTATCGTGGTTATATCGCTCTCGGGCCTGGTGGGCCGCCTCACAATGTTATCGGATGGTTTGGACAGATTCTGCTGAAACCGTTCAAGAAAGAACCTTTTCACACAAGTTGCTACGATGAGAAATCGTTCCAAAAGGCAGGTCCTAACGGGAATGTTGCCTTCTTAAAGGAGGAGGATGTTCCTATTCGAGAAGTACCAAGACCAACAATTGGAAGTTGGACAGCGCCGAGTCGACAGTTGACGGATCTTGCGAGTAAAGATATAATTGAAGTATGTAATTCAATTAAACTATATACGATGGGTTATCTGACAATCACAGCGCTTTCAATCCTTCCTCTCCTCACTCGCGTCAGAGTCACCTTCCAAGCTCAAAATCGCAACATCTGTCGTCGAGCGGCACGGCCAGGCTCTCTTTGTAGCGTCAGAGAACCCAACTCACCCTGTTGCGAAGAGTATGTATGGAGAAATTGGACACATGCATGGTAGCGACGGCTCGATGCATCTCAACTTGGCACCTCGGGATGCCAAGTTGGTGCTGGAGAAGGGTTGGGGCCAACGACATCCTCTGGGTGGTACTATTTTGTACTTGGGAGATGTTATGGTTTATGCTCCCAGGAATGAGGAGGAGCTTGAGGTTGTCAAGAAGATTACGAGGGCAGCTGCTAAGTTTATGCTTGGAGAAGAGTCTTAATACAAGATGAAGCAATTTGGGTATAAGGGTTTATGGTGTAATTTGAGAGGTTGCATTTATTGTTGGCACATACTTTTAAGCAGAGTAATAAGTATACATGTTTTAAATGGCCTGTGTAAAAACCTTGTGTCATTTGAATGGTGAGTGACGAGTGCGCAATCACTTGGATATATCCAAGTTGATGGTGCTGGCATTTGATTAACGCTTCTCAATAAAGAGGCAGCGGCAGGGTAGAGAGAAAAATATTCTGGCTTTTTCTCAAATTGCCAACAAAAATAATACTAGTTAAATACAATTCAGTTGGGTCAGCTGTCCCTGTCGAGGTTATCAGGTCGCCCATCACCTCATGCCATAGGGTAGGTGAGTTTTGCGAGCCCTATATAGATTCAAATTTGTGCACTTTTGTCACCAACAAGAAAGCAGCTTGGCGCAGTGGAAGCGCGGTACGTTTAAACAACTACTCTTCAAAATATCAAATGACTAACATGTCACAGCCGGGCTCATAACCCGGAGGTCACTGGATCGAAACCAGTAGCTGCTATGGTTACAATTTTTTTGCGGTTCTTTTCACTTTTTATCAGTTATCTATTCACAGAGTGTGGAGGCTCATATACCCTAACCAAAAGACTGTTTGCCACCACAGAAAGCAGCTTGGCGCAGTGGAAGCGCGGTAAGTTACTCTACACATTTAACGAATGGTTAGATTCAATATTCTAACTCTTCATAGCCGGGCTCATAACCCGGAGGTCACTGGATCGAAACCAGTAGCTGCTACGTTACATTTTTTTTTTTTTGCATCTTTCTTTTCTATTTTTGCTATTGGACTAAAGATATCGTGAGCATGGGCGAGCTTCCACCGAAGCAGTGAGTATAGAGACATGTGATTAGAACGGATCATACTTAATTCAGCCTATTACTATTTTTTGCCTCCTACAATATGGGGCCATGTCTTGTCGTTCAAGGTCATGTCCAACATACTCTCATGATTTGTTGAATAACCGTCCAAGCACGCAAAACTCCTCATCAGCTTACGAGTATTTCTTCAACGGCTCATATCGTGCAGATACCCGTGCTCGCTAACTAGTTCTTCATGCCAGAGAGCTAATTTGGAAAAGGCAGAATAAACTCGCCTAACTCATGGCCTGCCCGTTGTTCTTAGCATCCCAAGATCATGAAGTGGTAGGACACTTATATATGCAACACCTCGCTTGTGGGTATCATTTAGGAAGCCCTCCAGGATATAGATTAAACGTGGCACTAAACAAGTGATCGTTGCAAGGTTTTTGTTTCTACGCATAATACCACTTTCTTAAAGTAACCATATAAGCTCTGGCGGTGTAAGGTTGAAGCTGTTTCTTTCGGCAAAAGGGACCGGTTTGTTTGTCAAAACGATCGTGCTCCTTTTTTCTACAACGTGGGCCACAGTGGGACGGACGGGTCGGGACGGTTAAGAAGGTTAAGGAAAAGAGGTTCCATATTGGCTTTCTCAGCCCTACGGGTCAACGTATTGAAACGTTGAGATAGCAACGAGACCCAGGCTAGGCTAATGGAAAATTCTTCATAGACGACGAATAACGAATGCTGATGTGGCAAGTTGAGTCATGGATATTCCATGTAAATTGGGCTTTTGGATGGAGATTGGTCATTGAAGAGTTACAGAAAGTTGTGTGTAACTGGGCATCAATGAATGAAAAGTTCTATATAAGTGGTTCTGCATAGGGATAGAGCATGTAAACGAGAGTCTAGAGTTTGGCCTAGACTCTTGACGTATTGCTGATTATATCTCGACTTACACAAGGATTCTTCAGTCTTTTCTTTTTCTTGTCAACAATGTAAATAAGCTCATTCACATCATCAAGCTCGTCAACTATACTGAACCGTGCTGTTTCAAGCGAGTCGCATATCTCGCCATCATCCTTTCCGAGTGTCCACCATCAAAATAACCCCTGTCAGTTCTCATTTTCAGTTCATGCTTTCAAGAGCCGCCAGATGCGCATACATACGCATGCACATGCACCGAATAGGGATCAACATTCAGGGGCGAACCACTTCTTTTCTTTTCTCTTCTGCAGCCCAACAGAATCAAAAGACTCTAATAGAGACTAGTCTAGAGAGTTAGAAACAAACATCAAGGAACAAGGATCCCCGCGCGTTAGGGCCAAAGGACAGGACATTCAAAGTGCAAGTGGAGAGAATACCCTTGGAACCAGCCACTCGAATTACGGTGAGCGACTCTGCTACTGCAAGACTTGCAGTTCCGCGTGTTCCCCTTCCTCCACTTTCACTTCTGTACCTTCAATTCCATAGGCTCGATACGGCAAGACAATTGCTGGGTACTGTATCAAATCACTCTATACAGCAGTAGCTCACTTTCTGACTTGCATCTGCAATTGTTCGCATATCGCCCTTGACTCGTTTTGTTTTATTCTCCATCTTCTTTCTCGATTTTCCATTTCCTCACACTCAACAATTAACACTCAGAAATCAATCAATTAACGACGTCTCAATTAAATACCAACCAACGTCTCTTGCAAATGCGCACATATCAATAAGTATACCTAATAAAGAAAAAGGACACACACTTTCAATATGGGCTTCCTTGATTGGAACGACGGTGCCTCTGTCCTGTCAACCCGAACTTCATCTCGTCGCCACAAGTCTTCTCGCTCTCACAAGAAGCGCTCAAGATCAAACTCGAGCGAGCGCGGACGCGGCTTCGCAGAGTCCATCTTTGGTGGCGGCGACCGTTATGGGAAGCACAATGCCTCTCGCGCTTCCTTCTTTGGGCTCGGAGGCGGCAACAGTAGCCGCTCCAGCTTCTTTGGAAACAGTATGTTCTTCCACTGGTAAATGCGTTGAGTTACTAACCAGCCTGGCTACTCACTAGATCGCTCCTCTTACTACAAACGCTCCCCTCGTCAGGGCTTCGTTCAAAAGACCTACAAGCAGCTCAAGCGTCTCCTCCGCGATCTGGTTCACTGGGCCAAGCGCCACCCCTGGAAGGTCTTTTTCATGGTCATCATGCCCCTCGTCACCGGCGGAGCTCTGACTGCTCTCCTCGCTCGCTTCGGCTTGCGCATCCCACCCGCCATTGAGCGCATGCTCGGCGTAGCCTCCAAGGCTGCTACGGGCGACTCGTCCGGTCTTGTGGGCGAAGCTGTTCGCATGGCCAGTGGTTTTGGCGGCAACACTTCTGTTCGCGTGGAGCGCGATACGCACTCATTCAGCAGTGGAGGAGGAGGAGGTGGTGGCGACTCATGGGGTGGTGGTCTTGCTGATATGGCCAGAAAGTGGATGTGATGTGCCTTCTTTTTAAGCGAGCGAAACGAGATGGCGCCGTTGCTTCGGACGGAACTGGATCGGACAGGTACGGCATATTGACTGACATAATTTGACGAGACACGTTTTGGGTTATCGGCTCCAGGCGTTCCAGGAACCATATTCTTTTTATTTCTTCTACTTGGGAGGATTGTTGTGCCCACATTGCCGTTTCTACTTATTTGGTCATGATTTCACATAGATACACTACATACATGCCAGCATTCTTGAATAAACTCACGACTTAATGACCCCTGATACTTGCAAGGTCTCTGTGCCTGTCCAAAGAATGTGATCGTCCACACCAGCATTCTTTAACATCTTCTAATTAGGGTTACACGGCATACCTTACGAATTTTGTGACCTCGCCTTGAAGAATTTCAGCACTATGTTCATTACTAGTTCTGTCCATTTCTCACCAACCTCCGCAATATACCAAGCTACTTCTCAAATCCCACTGCTTCCATTTGTTGGCGGCGGCACCAAGAATGCCAGCCAGAAGCATATTCCCCCTTCTTCTATCGGGAGTCTAAGCTACCCCTTGACCCGACTCAACCAGAGATGTGTTGACTCGGGAGCAACGTGGGCCCATCCCAGATACCAATAATAATCATGCAATCATTAACCTCTGCGCCCGTACCCATCCATAATCCAAAATTCTGATAAATCAATCGATCCAAGGCTTTTTTTCTTAATTGTGAGTGTTTGTACCCTGTTTGTTGATCGATGTAGTTGTTGTTAAGTTTGTCATTACTCGGTGCAATAATGGCAGATAATGTAATTGCCCAGCCGCCGAGATTCTGTTACTCGGTAACCAATGCCAGAAAATAAATATTGTACACATGCTCGCGTGCAAATGCAGCGACGCAGTCATAGAACGCCAACGCTTGTAGAGTGTCTTCGAGTCGGATCTCCCTCATCATTATTTAGTATCGTTTTCTTTCTCCTTGATGGGTTCCTTCTCCTTGGTGGGCTTCCAGAACTGCATCATGCGGCCCAGCTTCTTTGTTCGGCTACTCTTTGTTTTCTTGTTCTCGTCGCTATCCAGTGTGACTTCCATCGACAGCTTGCTCCGTTCACCGTGAGAGCTGCTGATGAGACGGCTGAGACTAGCCAGACTTGATCTTCGACGTCCAAAGGCAGACGACACAGATACAGGGCGAGGCTCTCGAAGCGTGGGTTGTGATTGACGCTGGCCTGGGAGAAACATACTTTCTCGCGTCATCGTAGAGTTGCTCGATGTCAGTGAAGGAATATCATAATCCACTGAAACGCGAACCTCGGGACCAGGCTCTCCCATCAGTAGCAGAGACCGAAAGTTGTTCTCATCAGCTACCGACGAGGGAGCTGTCGAGATTCGCTGCACATCGACGGACATGGGTGACCTCGGCGACGGGAACGAGGACGAGTAGCTGATGGCGTAAGGACTATTTGGTACGTTGGCTGGCGCTGGAAGGTGCAACGGGCTGACTTCCCCAGGAGAAAGGTCGTTGTGGGCAGAGAACCGTTTGAGTGACGAGTGAGCCGAGTCAGCAGTGTCGCATCGTTCCGCAGGCATGAATGGCGAACGAAATATTACGCTTGGAAACTCCTCAGCGATGACACTTTCGTGGAGAGATGACCTTGAGCGTTCGCCTCGGACCGTGCTGCCAGATACTTGATCTTTGTCGCTCAGACTGGAAGTAGTTCGTTTCATGCTGTGTACTGATAGCTTGTCCTGGGAACTACGGAGAGGATCCCGAACAGCACCAGCCGGAGGCGTAACGTCACTGTCGGAGTCAGTCTCTTCTTCCGAGGAGTCATCTGTTGTTCCAGATCTAGCATTATCGTCATCGTCCTCCTCGTCTTCTTCAAACACATCAGCCATAGTGGAACTGCTGTTATAACGGTGCATACCAGCACGGCCGGGGTCAAAAGGAGGCAGATCAGGAGCAGATTCTGCACGGCGGTGATAGTGCATTCCAGGACCGCTGAAGCCCTTCATACCCTGTGCACTGTGAAGTCGTCGCTTTCCAGCGCCGCCAGCTGCTCGCTGGGCGGCCTCCCACTCAAGGTTGAGAGGCAATGGTGTGTTGAAAGGACCTAGAGCTGCGTCCAAATCAATCATGGGATATGCTGATTCATCTACTGATCGCTTCGGTACCGCATCTTCCTGAGGAGGATCGGGAGACTCCGTGACTGTGAGTGTAGGAGTTGATATCTGCAATAGCTCTGGCTCTCCATACATCTGATCCTCGCCCTCGTATCGGGCGACAGTGGGAGCTGGGGGAGTTGGGGTACAACCACCTTCTGACTTAGAGCGCTTGTTGTGAGACTTGGGCTTTCGTGGCAGAATAGCGCCAGCCCACCCTTTGACCTTCTTTTTCTTCTTCTTACTCTTTTTGCTGCTTTTGGGCTTGGTTGGCGTCGCATCAAGGATTTCGGTAGTGACGTCAAATCCATTACTGGATGCAGGCGCTATCTTTGTCAATAAGTCAAGTGAGCCAGCGCTCTGCGGTCGTGCCTTGCCGGGAGATGTGTTGCCACTCGAGTGCTCCCTAGCAAAGAACGACCACCGCTTTCTGGTCGGGCTGGGTTCAGGATCTTCCGCCTTGGGAGCATCGGCGAAATTGAGCAGTGTAGGAATCGAGTTTCGGCGCTTTGGTGAGCAGGCTGCGTTGGCCAAATCGTGAGTATTTTCAAGTACAGCACCTGCTGTGCTTGGCCGGGAATCTGATATCTCGCGAGTTGGTGTTTGAGATAACGGTGATGGACTATCACGGCCGCTAGGCGAGTTCGCTGATATGATAGATGAAATACTGCCAGATAAAGAATGTCCAGGTCGCGCTGTTATAGTACTAGATGTCTCGTTGGATACCAGAGACAATGGTCGTGGTATGAACTCGAGTGTGTCGGAGAATCCAACGCGAGCTTTAGGGTTCTTGGGACTACTGTCAGGCGAAGATTTTGCGACCGGCCCTGTAATTTGTTTCGAAGCCTCCGGTTGGGGTACTGGTGCAGGATCAGGCGTAATTTGTTCGTCGAGTTTAAGAGGTCCTTGGTTGTTTGGTTGCTCATAGTCAGTCGGGCTTGTCGGCGCACTATTTCCACGGCCGGCAGAATCGAAAACAGGTGGTTGGAGGATAGGTAGATCATTTGTCGAGATGGCGCCTGAAATTCCTCTTCGGTGACCTCTCCTCGGTGGGGGTTGAAAGGTTGGCGACACAAGTCCACTCTCGGACTTTGTTGGACTGGTGCTCATAATGGCAATTGAATTGCCCTCACGAAGACGGCCTCCGACAAATTCGCTACCGCCTCTCCGATGCCCATGGCCGCCGGGTCTCTGTTGTGACGCACCATTCCTGGGGGAATGAGGAGAAATGGGAGGAGTCAAGAGAAAGTTGTTCTCGCGGTCTGGGGAAAGCATTGCACCAGGATTGAAGCTAAAATCTGGCAATGCTGACCGAGCATGCCTCTCCGCATTTTCAGCGGAAAACCCAAAACTGAAGTTGGGGGTCTCGATAGCCGACATGGGACGACGTCCTGACGCTCTTGAAAAGGATGAAGGTGCAGATGCTGAGCCGGGCGGTTGAGCTGGAAAGACGAATGGAGGGTTTGGAGGCGGTTCATCAGCTTGGGCGTTGCAGTCGAGTGACTGAGATCCATTTAGTGATTTCATCGAAGCAGCAAATCGGTCGGCGGAGCTGTCGAATGCTGGACCAGAAGATGGGCCTGATAGCCGCTCGGGGCCAAATGCGGTTGCCATCTTCCCCTCAGCCGCGCAGCGGCAATCGAAGCGATGGACAACGGTGGGTGAATTAATAGTTCATAGGACAGGCGGGTATTCGTTCCGGGACCGCCAGACTCGCTTGATTGTTCGATTCGAGCGGTTGAATAGCAATAATACGTTGACGGCTTCGAAGAGATTGTCGCGTCTGAGACGTCACAGGCAACGATCAGTCTAAAGATCTTGAAATGAGACGAAACTGGCAAGAGGCAAATATGTCGGCCTCGAAAAACAAATTGCTACAACGTGCGATGATGCTGGGCAACGGACCGGATAGAAGTGGCAGCAACGGGCTTGAAAATTTTCGAGATGAATCGCAGAGAATTGGCAGATAGGACGAACAACTCGAATGGTGAGTGTAAAACTAAGTAAGATATGTAACGTATAGAAAAAGGAGTGGACGGACAAGACCAGCGCAACTCTGCAAAAAACAAGAGAGCAACTGGAATCGCACCAAGAAAGAGGAGGTCGGGAAAAGGAAGAACAAGATTCTTCGCTCGCAAAAGGCGGCGTTGTTGTTGAAGTGAGGCCGGAGAGTTGAAGAAGAGAAGACGGGACGGGACGGGGGAGAAACGCGATTTCGTGATCAAGCGAAAGGCAGTGGAGTCTAAAGAGAGGGAAAGCCAACTGGACTTGTGTTCAGCCACGTCTAGCAAGTGCAAGTGCAAGGGGTCCACTGTGATAGAGTACATCGAGGCAGGTACCGCTGCAACCAACACGGAGGCAGGCAGACCGCCGGAAATGGCGAAGGAGGACCTGCATCTCTAGTACCTTGACACTTCCTTCCAAGTTTGGTCAGGCCCCAGGTCCTGGCCCCCCTTGGTCCTAAATCTTTAGGTTGGGTTAGCTCCTTGTAACTAATCCCTAGCCCTTACTGGAGTTGGATCCCCTAGTCCAGGTACCTGGCCGGGACAATCTGACTGACCTGTCTACTTGCCAGAGACATGGACGAAGACTTAATCAAGGGGCGCCACTTCGGAGACTCTAGTTAACATCCTGCGGTGTGTGATGTTGTTATTGTGCTCTGTTGTGTTCTGCCAAGGTTGGAGTGGATGCCAATGGATGGCTGTTCATGAATCGAGGAATCAGTGTGGCCCAATACAGAAGCCGCAGAACCCCAATGGGGATATATTTGATGAACCATGCTTCTTTTTGATAACAGATACGATCCGGTGTGTTGCATTGAAACTGTAGGTACAGAGTATCCAGGTCAGAAACATTCAGTTGAACGACAGGTGAGAGAATAACTCGGACAGCCCCTACATTGTTTGTCCCTCTTCTTCCCTTCACTTCCATCCATCATGGATTCCCTTCTCCAGTATGTTGTAGGTAGCTGGAGCCAGGGGCGGCCGGGCCTCCTCCACCCCGCTTGGCGGTGGGTCTATCCCCAAGCATGAAAGACCCGCACTGTGTTGTCCTTTGCTGGGGCAAATTGCATCGAGGCGGTCATTCTCGCTACTGACTTCTTCACTGGTTGACGATAATCACAGCGTGAATTACCATGTTATGCTGCTGAAAGCTATCAATTAATTCCATTCTGTTAATCATGCCAATATGACAAGAACATGGATTGGCCGGGCATCAAAGTTCATTCCAAGAGATGAACAAACGCTCTGAGTCCTCACCTAATCTTACTGAAACATGACAGCAATACCATCGTGGAGATTGATCTTCACTGACAACCGTTACACACACAATCTGTTCATGGCGGTCACCATTTCATGACAGTTACTGTCAATATCGGCACATGATACTCCATGCCTGCCCACATCTGCACTGTGACCTCGCAGGTTAACACATCCCTGCCTGGTCTTTTGTTCTCCCAGCACTATGCACCACAAGTAGAGTGCCCGCGAACGCTCTCGAAGTGCTGCTCTGCTTAGGCGTGCTAGGCCTCTGCTATTCGGTAGTGTTTCTGCGCCAGCAAACGAACCAGGCCACGACGGGAATGCAAGCGAACAACCGGGAGCAAGTGACATTAAGCGCAAATCCTAAGTCTATTAGAAGACCAAACGACAACTTCACCTGATTGGTGAAATATTGTACTCACATACTTCCTACTATTGAAGATCATCTATTCTTCGTCAGCCGCTTTTGCTAGGATGGTGACCTCCAGGGAGAGCGGGGGAGGCGAACGAGAAGTGGAGGAGAGTAACGGTTACAGCGGGCGGCACGATGTCTTGCTTGGTGGCCGCGACAATCCAACGGCCTTGGCGGTTGCGCAGATAGCTCAAAATCAAGTACAGGAAGTCTTGGCTCACGGCCGGTCACCGTACACTTCTTGCCATATCATAATGGCGTATCTTATTGATCCAACAACTTTGAAAGCTCTTGCGCTGGTCTTCGCATAATGGTTCGTCGAGAATACTGAGATCCTAGTCAATTGACGATCGGATAAGTTGCAATGAGTATTGCTACTGGGTGGTCAGCGCCAGGTACGGATTCGGATAACAACCACCTGACGACTGTTGGTATACAAACAACAATGCAGGACACCGAGTCAGCTTCACGCATAAAAAGAAGTGTCTCTCGTTTGAGCTGACGGAACACCCGCACAGAAGCATACAGTCGACTAGGCAAAAGCAAATTTTTCTCTTTCATATTGAGAGAAAAGTCTATCCTGATAAGCGGATTTCTTGGGCGCCATCGGCTTGAGGATTATTGCAAGATATCAGCTTTGTGCACACCATTCTCATAGTTTCCCAGCTTGAAGCGGGTTTTGCAGCCCATACGCAAATGTCCCTCGATCTCGTGTAAGTTGAAAGCCAATCATATCCACCAAGAGACCAGTGGGCTGCTGTAGCAGGCAGCCACTAAGATAACAGACAGATCGATCTTCAGAAAGGGGGGTCTGGATCAGCAACGGTAACCCAAAACACCACATCAAAAACTAGCAAGTTAAAAAGATACGATAGTTCCCGCATATGGCAACCATGGTCTTCAGATGGCGATATCGCCGGGCTTTCAGCCAAATGGACAGGCATTGTTGAAAACAAAACAAGTTTATCTCTCGAAATCGATATCTAGCTACCTACCTACGTACGGATTTGCGTGCTGCACTGTGCTTCTCTGGCCACTCCCTCACGAGTACAGTCGAGACATGGCTGCATGATGAATCGGGGCTAGAACCAGTCTTCAACTGCTATGTAAGAGTCTAGAGTATACAATACCGTACCATGATCTATGTGCACAGTATGGTACAGCATTCTCGCAGTAATACTTTGCTTTTGCAAGCTTTGCTGGGGTTGGTCAGGTCCTCTACCATTTCTTTCTGAGATCTGTCCAGGATAAATTGGCCCGTCTTGACCAAGAGACAAATTACGAGGTAGGCCACGCACAACAAAGCAAACCCCAGACTAGTCTCCATGATCTATCGACCAGGCCTTGAAGATTACGTACCGCCCTGGTCTTTTGTCACAGCGCTCTGCTAGCAAGGCTAGAAGCGTCCGGTTTTAGATATGGGTCATCAATGACACTTTAAACAGTCATTGAATAGACGAGAGAATCGTTTTGCTAGATAACAAGGCAAAATGATGTGTTTGTTTTGCTTTCTGCGTCTTTATCACGCCGTGGTAAATCCTACTCGTTATAGCCCTCCCTCGCTCAACGTGTCATTCGCTACGCACGGGGTCAGGAACAGCCGCAAGTCCCCTTGTTTGTTCCCACCCTGGTACACGTACCTGAAAGTCTTGCCTTGATTTGGTTATCAAAAACATGGCAGTTGATGACGGATGCAATTGAGGCTTGGGCTTTCTTTGATCTAGATTCACAGGGCGCTTGTGAAAACACATTGCCTTGTTCGTCCGGGGAGTGAGATTCACCAAGGCAACGGTATCAGTCTATGTGCTCTCATTGGCTCTTGGCTTACATTGCTTTTCAATAAACAAGATGTCAGACATTGTAACGGGATGAACATGGACCCAACTTTATCACGGTTCGTTCCAATAGATCATAACCGGATATGGACAAATACCATGATCGAGATTGCAGACAGCGCTCCCTATGCTATAATAACAGTGGCATTATTTACCGGTGTTTAATTGCAGCGACAAAACAATGTCCCAAGAGCCTACGCAGTATTCAAGAACAGATTGATCAATTATCAGCGCTTAACAGGCAGATCTACAACAATATCCGACGGCACCCACAAACAATGCACAGACAGAACTCATGGTAAGGCGCTTGGCGCATCGGAAATTTAACCAAACATGGTATAAAGCGTACGGCTGTCTGAACTCTCAACTTCTAAAATAAGCAGGCCCTGGCAGTTGCGCAAAGAACAAGACGGCTACATCTGTTTGATCTGCGGTTGTCGTGACAATTGTGTGTTGGCAAACAAACTACGGCGTCAATTGCATGATACCTCAACTTTTCCAAGCTGCACGCATGTAATGCCTGCATTACTAGTGTCACTCGTACCGGTCAACAACTCGTGTATTCCTTTTTCCCATCCCTCTTGTCTCACCAAAACTCAGTGGTTCATGGCCAGTCTCTCCCATGGGGCCTGGTCCACCAGCTAAGCCACCATCAACAGGGATTCTCCTTCTTTCAAGTTCCCCTGTCCATCTCGTCATGCTCCACAGAGTACTTACTCTTACGGACCACCAATTTCACAATCATGAAAAAAGGGCTGGCGAGATCGCATCTCAGGTCAGCCTGCCACTACTCAGCTCGTCCGCGAATAGCCTCGCGGGACCGTTGAGGTGAAATGAAGGCTTTGTTCTCCGTGCATGAGCAATCTCGCCAACTATCTCAACAGAAAAACATGCAATGCCATTTGACACGCGGTCATTCCTATTATTATCATGACCGCTATAAGCCAATTTGCCCAGCTAATTACGATTTCCTTTCCATTCCGTCATGAACTCCAGCTCCCTGCGTTGCGGTGAAGGAGGCCTCGGGGCAATACTGACAGATATTTGCTACTAGGCTCCCATCCCAAAGAAAAACATCGGATGTATACTGTATTGATGGGGCTAAGAAATACCGTACCCGGATTTAGCACACGCTGGTTCATCGTCATTTCGTGGACGGACCGGGCTTTGATCTTGGTTATGGGTCCTGTGGCATGTCATTCATCTCGAGGTAGGATTCGGCCGCCATACCGAAGTAACAAGGCCTAATCTGGTTTGCAAACCCGCATTAGACATGTTCCACTACGACATTGTCATGATATTTACGACGAGTCGAACGACTCAATGCTTATAAGCGCGTTTATAGACGTTCATGCTGACCTTAGCAAAGCCATTCTCTATGACTAGGGCTTGTCTCTCCACACATGGCAACTGGATTGGATATCTCTCTATTGTCCAATGTCTCTACACATTGATGCATGATAATTTGCACTCTGAAATCCGCAAATGACGGTAATTAACCAGACATGAAAACACGTACACCAGTTGCTGGCTTCTCGTCAGTGATAGGCTCTTGACAATTCTGCCTCGGCCAGGTTATCTCCCTTAATGCATATGTGCTATACTTGGATAGGCCCTTATGATCTATACGTAAACGAACTCGCAGTTCCTGCAATACGAATTGCACTTAATCCTGCTCCAATCACATCACTTGATCAGCGTATCGGCCCTTAGCCTCCATGCCTCAAACTCAAAGCCACGTTAAGATCCCGCAAGTTAGGAAGCCCAGTCACTTCACGAGGGATAAAAATGGAAGGACGATGGATTTGAGGCTTACCAGTTCGCAGCTGAAGATTTAGCCAATAGCGTATAACTCTCCCTAGACCGAAAGCCAAGTGGGACGAGAGGGAAAATTATTGAAGAAATCGTCAGCTCCAACAACCAAGGCATGTCAACTATAGGGTGTCGACGGGTCAAAGGAAAGCCGAAGCCCTCAGGTATTAGAGACTCCATTTGAAGGGGCCAGCAGTCTCCAGGTAATGAAACAGAAGCACGAAGCGACGCAACAAGATCTACCCCTTAGTATGTGCCTACCCCTTACTTAAAGTGTGGGGGTAATCCCATCTGGACCCTGGATTTTAGCCACACTTGATGGAGGTGCACAGCCACATAGTTTATCTAATCACTCACCGCCCAAAAGATAATGCCCCGCTGCAACTTTTTTTGACTGGCAGAAAATTTGGTGAAGGCGCGTGAAGATCGCTGAAACGACACGCCTCATTATCAAGAAAAGACAATCATCAACACAATGTCTGATAAGGAAAACACGAACCTGACCCCCGCTCCGGCGGCCGAGAAGAACTTGGGCATGCGCAAGAATGGTGCGACTATTGTCCGGCGTTATGCGCGACAAAATTTCATAAGCTAACCACCCTACAGGCAAGCAATGGCATGCTCCCAAGAAGGCTTTCCGACCTACTGCTGGTCTGAGATCTTATGAGAAGCGATCGCAAGAGCGGGCGCAGATGGTGCAGGTCAAGGCCAAGGAAAAGGAGATGAAGGAAGAGAAGGAGGAAGAGCGACAAGTAAGCAAAAAATATTCTGTTTGTCTGCATATAGAACCGTGATTTAACCGCAGAAACAGCGCAAGGTCCAGGCCATTAAGGAAAAGCGAGCCAAGAAGGAGGAGAAGGAGAGATATGAGAAGATGGCCGAGAAGATGCACAAGAAGCGAGTCGAGCGACTAAAGCGCAAGGAGAAGCGCAACAAGCTGATCAACTCTTAAACGGGACAATGCGATCTTCCGGGCTGGGCTGGTTGGGTGATGGGATCGAGGGGGAAAATACACACATAATACCGACAGCATTGTGATTTTTACGATGCGGCATACCTCAGACTACAACTTGCAACGAAAAGTATAGGTTAGGGACCTTGGAAGCAGCAAAATATACCTCGGCGTTGGAATATGCAACTAGTATGAATACTAAGCAGAAGATGAGCCATTACATTGGGACTGACTGGCCTAAGACCAATTGCATGTGCTTTCGTTTGCAATCTGAGCGTGCTCTTATTGTTGATCAGAACTTGGTTCAATCTCGGCTACTGCAACTCGAAGTAGAGGCCTCCGTTCCGAACCCATCTGTCACAGTGAACAAGCTTAAGGTTGACTGCTGGTTTCAGAGTAGGAGGATGTGTAAACGGAATCGGAATGTCATGATTAACGCAGTTTTCTTTAGTTATGTTGCAAGCTTTTGTTAGCTTTGTGAACAGGTAATGAACTTATCAGCTAACATTGTGAAGTAATCATGATACCACATGAGGTGTCACAGGTGGTAGAGTATGTTGAAACGTTTCAGTAATATCAACACAGTAGCTCGTATCTACCTATACAATTCTATCTTTAGTGTCTATAAAAAAACGTATTCGGGTGCTGATATCGAGCTCGACCTTGTGTGGAGATGGTATCCTCTATCTCTCTCTGTGCGGTAATGACATGTGAAACTACCGGCCTATGGATCCACTAAACCATCTCCGAACTTAGCCATTCGACGATCGCCTGATGTAACCACGCAAACAAAGTCAGGAAATCAACTGCTAGAAGCCCTCTTTTTTTGGCCTGGGAAACCCACCCATGCGTCACAGGGTCCAGGCATACCCGGGCGTAGACTTTTTCCATTATCGACTGACTGCCGCTGTTGCTGCAAGCAAGAACGAATCGGGATCAGCCACACGGCAACCCAATCCAATCCAACCCAGCTTTGACAAATAACGCTCCTTTACTCACGCCATGGCCTCCGCAGGCCTTACGAGTCCCAGAGACTCTGTCAACTCCGTCTCAAGCATACGCTCAGGCAGTCGTCATCAGCTTAAGCGATCCATTACCGAGCTCGCGTCGCCTGTTAAGCTCAACCGTAGAAAGGAGAAGGAACGCGATCGATATAACGAGGACCGCGCTTCGCATGCACACCATATCTCTATCTCTCATCCTCTATCTCCGAATTCGCTATACCAGGGCAGAGCATCAGTAGACATCATGCCGCGATCGGAAGGCGTAACGCCTTATATGAGCCCCGACCAGAGTCGGAGGCCGAGCTTGATGTTGTCGAGGGAAGAAGAGAATAAGGTTATTAGTGTTCCTGCGCAGGTGGAAACGAAGGCGAGCAAAGAGAAGATCCAGACAGAGAAGGTCAAGACATCCTTGCAGGTCGAGTAAGATACCGTCCACTTTTTCGCATATCGTGTCATCGCTGACCTATCTACAGGGGCTTGAAGCAGTCACTGGTCGAACTAGGCACTTTCTCTACATCAACGGCACGACGGCTCGACGAGACATACTATGCCGTGCTTGAAAAGATGACCGCCCTCCAATCGACCGTTTCCGCGTTAAAGGAATTGGCCGAGGAATCTCAGAGCATACATGGAAACTTTGAGAAAGATGCCTGCGAGATTGAAAACGACATCACGTCGCAGATTGCGGCGATGGGGCAGTTCAAAGAGCATCAGGAGAACATCGAATCACTCACAACTCGTGTTCAGGACGGTCGCGCAAGGATTCGTGCTCTGAGCGATCGAGTGGATATTGTCCGAGAGCAAGTCGAGCTCTGGGAACGTCATGACAAGGAATCACAGGATAAGACGCGGCTGAGGCTGAGGGCCATAATGATCTGCATCACAGCCGTGTTCTTGGCAGTCGTTATTTTGTTCTTTGGCGCGCACTATGTATCGCTAAACAGCGCGGGATCGAGTAGGTCAGGCACGCCTCGACTTGCGGAGTCTCTCATCGAGTCGCATAAAGAAGCAGGACACACAGCACTACCTCGCCAGCGACATGAGAGAGGCGAGTCTCCTTATTTGAAGAGAAAGCCGGCGCATACGCCGAAGCATAGAGGCGATGAGCTTCATGCTTTTGATGAGCTTTAATATCGGTACTCATCATTACTTGCTTTTTCTTTTTTTGACACCCCATGAGTTATGACATACAGTAGCGCGCACATCAACTTATTTCCTTTGTCTATTTATAGGTAGATCGGATATCACATTCAAGAAAAAGAGTAACTAATAAAAGGAAAGAATGGGGGAAAGGTTAATACCACGTGCTATCCTTATTGCATAGATATTTCAGCAGAGGATAAAGCCAGCAGGACTATCAAACTGCATGCAGTAGTTGCTGTCGTGACCCTTTAACCTTTTACCTTTCTATAATGCCCAATAATACAATCTTGTTATATTGTTGTCTGGTTCTTAATTGGCGATGACGAGTTGGTCTTCCAAATTTCAGCATCCTTACACCAGACTATTGTATATCGTATAAACGGCATAACCCTTTGACTAGGTACGATCACGGACAGGCCGTTAAGCCAGTTGGGACAGAGACTTGCCATGTTTGTAGCTTGCTATAGTATTGATCAAGATGGGACGGAAGTTTCCTCTACCTGCAACTTATCAAGACTATGGTCGATGTTCCAGTGAACTGTTGGAGTAACGTGTAATTGAGTAGACTATGGCGACCCTACATTGACAAAACGTTGCAGTGTTTTGAGGATATATGCAGTTATGCATTTGATGCCACTATTAGTCTAAACATCTGGCAAAGACTTACGCAACGAGACCTAATGAGCTTTGCCAACTCGTGCATGTAAGGCATGAGGCAGATTGGCAAGCAACTACTCATGCGCCGAGCCGCAGCCGGCGCCACATTTCGGAGGCTCCGTGTCACACATCCCCACTGCCGAGCCGTGTCCCGGAGCTCGTCACAAAATTGTTTGGCTTAGCTTTGCTTTGGCCAGGACCGCCAAGGAGCGAATACTCGTTCTGGTCAGGCTCGGAGAGCTTGTGAAGGCAAGGCCGAATGTTCTCCGTGAACGGTGCTTTAGATGAAGCATCTAAGAATGCAGCTTACTTGGTCTTGTGGAATACCTTATTTCTCGAAGCAGGGTTACCCTAAGTTGTCCAGTATTGCCAAAAAAGACAAACAGAAAAGCTTGACCTCTGAAAGTTTGCGTGACAACGTAAAGATTCTGGTCAGCACGTACCATAGTAAATTCTTAGATACTAACCCAACTTATCCTAACCAATAAAGCACAGACAAGACGTTGCGTAACTCAACGTGGCGGGGTCCAAAGGCAAGATTGCCAATGTTTGTGTTTTTTTCTTTCTCCAGAGCATGCTCATTGATTGGTTCACTCGTAATATCTGGACAGTCTGGATACGAAATTCAATATGTCTTGTATTTCTTTTGTGGTTTTACTTGGTCCAAGTTGCTCAGCAGCCACGATGCAAGGATGATTGGGAGATGATGTATAATAGACTTTGGGCTGTAAATGTGTGATATTTGGATCAACAAGGAGGATCAGCCATTTGTTTCGGTATCAAAGCGAATCAATTTGGCGAGATGTTGTAACGGTAGGTACTTTGACCAAACACCAAGCCGTGGAGAGTCATGTCTTCTTATCTTACAGTGAGTTTCCGAATGATCAATAAGGCTTGGCAGTAACGTAATTAACAAGACTGTAGAATGTTGAGAAGCCTCTTCGTGTTACTGTCATCGATCATTTAACGTTCCATGTACTCAGCCTTACGTTAGCTACCTTGAGTTAGACAGTTATAATCATAGAACTACAAACTTTGTACGGGTAGTCATGGACATTTTCGAGTCCCATGCCGCGCATCCATAGCACGGCAAAAAGGACCCGAAAAGCAGGGTTGTGAGAGTCTCGGCGAGTGGCTTGGTGCTTGGCGACACACGTCATGCCCCTCGATTTTGGCGCTTAATGTACGCAAGTGTCCAGAGCGACAAATACCTTATAAGGTTGAGAGGACTGGAAAGAAGTGAGGCGTCAGCATCTCTGATTGATTGTTCCTCTGACTGAGACTCAAAGGCTGTCCTGTATGTTCGTGATACCCCTAGAGCAATCATTACGTAGTTGCACCCCTTTAGTTTACCACTAACTTAGACGAAGCTGACTGACTGCAGCTTTGCCCCGCCATAAGTCTACCAGACCGAACCCCATCAAAGCAACAATCATTCAGGCGGAAATAATATACCCTAAATCCCAAGACCGACGACTTGAACAGTTCATCCTACCTATATCCTACAATTCTATAGCAACCACCGACCTCTTCCATCCTCGACCTGTTCCTAATTCACACCAAATCCTATAATACGTCACAGAACACGACACGCTCCCGCAACTCGGCCATGGCTGCTGAGACCAGAGATACGCCCGCAGTTATCGAGGGCACTGCTGCTCCAGCTCCGCCTACCATCGACTTGCCCGTCCGCACGAAGCAAGATGCTGTGCTACCTACTGGTCAGGCACTGACCGGAAAGCAAGAACACTGTGAGTTGCGATGCGCTTTGCTATATGGATCCACACGATCTGGTGAATAAAGCTAACGTTTCTTATCCCAGACCTCAAGAGAGAACTTATATCTGAGCAGGTAAAGTGGGAGATCAACGAACTCAATTCCACAACGGCGCTGCAACGTTTCGGCGCACCATTTCGATCCGACCAAGGCGAAGTCCCTCCCGAAGAGTCCGAACTACCTATCTTGAGATACATCTTCGTCCATCATGTTCGCGACTTTCCTTTCCTGGACAAGGCGCGCGAGAAGGAGTTTTGGCAGGACAAACTCCAGGTGGTGAGTGATGGATATGCATAGTAACGAACGGTCGACGCTAACATGATGTAGTTCCTCGAGTCCTTCGCAGGAAAGCAAATTTCGTCTTCGGAAGATCGCTTGGAGGAGACAAAGAGACGAAAGCTTGCCATCAAGGCTAGGAAACTTGTTGAGCTTATGATGGTCTCCGGAATTGGAACATCATCAGGATTCGAAGAGCGCATTCGGTTTTCCGAGATTGAGATTGTCGATAGCAATGCCATCGAGACAGGTGTGATGCATACGATGCCCGAGGGAAACTATATCAATGGCTGGGATGTCAACGTTGCCGGCGTGAGAGTCACCCAGGTCAAGCACACCATCCGGAAGCACAAACATGCCGAGTTTATCTTGCGTATCAAGAAGAAGGGAGAACTGGAACATTTTGTTGGACGAAGGTACAGCGACTTTGCGAAACTCCACAGCCGACTACGTACAGAACTTCCCGGCCGTGTGATACCCGAAATGCCCAAGAAGAACAAGTCCGACACAACGACAACAATCGCTTTCACATCCATGTTCAGCAATGGAAACGACTCGGATGCTTCCTCCATCTCATCTGTCTCGACGAGGCCGAATGGTTATACGTCCATGTTGTCGCCAGGTACGATCCAGCTTATTTCTGATTGCCGTGGTTGTAGCTGATAGTTGATAGGTCACCGCAAGACAGACTCTTCTGCCTCGTTCCGATCAAATCGATCAAAAGGACTCAGCTCTCCAAGGCTCCCGTCTCCTCGGGTGTCAACTGAGGGGGGAAGATTGAGTCCGGCTATCCGACAGGACTCTGATAAATCAGATCAGTCAGATGTGAGCGACGCACACCACTATTGCTTTGTGTCCAAACTAACAGTAACAGCAAACCGTCGTTTTGTGGCGTGAGAACCAGAGAATCTCACTGAGGGCGTTCCTGCGATCTCTACTACATAACCCCCAGTTTGCCAACACCAATGCTATGCAAGAATTCCTGAGCGGCGAGCCCATTACCCCAACGGACGATGATGTTGAGGATATCATTCGCAGGAAGGCTCTGGATGAGAAGCGCATGCAAGAGCAAAAGCAATTCTATGAAATCGCGAGGAAGCGAGCTGCCGAACTTGACGAGTACATGGAACAGTGAGTCTTGTCACGTACCACAGTTGAATGTGAGCTAATACATTGAAGGTTCCGCCGCGACATCGTGGAGCGCAACGGACTTACTATGCTGTTCCAGGAAATAAAGGAAAAGGAGACCATTCAGGATCTTAGCATCCAGTATCGAAAGTTTGCCGAGTGGCTTCGTATCGAGATTGCCGCCGTCATCTATCATCTTTTCCTTGCCGAAGACAACTCCCCTGAGCTTTTCGCCCAGGCCAGACGCATTCACTCTCTTATCCCATACTCAGTCATCAAGAACGTTATTAGGATCGCAAACCCAGCGGCCGTTATGTCAGGCGTTCTCGATATCTTTCTGGCTCAACCATTTGGTACACGATCGTTGATGCAGAGGATCTTTTCACTGACACTGAACGATGGAATCAAGAGCTTCCAAAAATCGATCGATATTCTCGCCACCAAGATCGACGACCCTGTCTTCTCACAAAAGCTTTACAAGTACACACACGCGGAGGAGCATATCAAGATTGCCATTCGTGAGGAGGCCGAGGCCGACGATGTGGACATTATTGTCGCTGTTATGAGGTCTGATCTCATTGAGCCAGGACTTACAGGGGAGCAAATCCAACGACTCTACAATGCATATGTCGCTTTCAACAATGCGGTGGAGAACGTTGATGAAGAGCTACGCCAGGGAGCTCAGCTATTCTCGTACATGAAGCAGTACTTGAAGCTATGCACAAGGCAGCGCGATAAGGAGATGATGCTGCAGTTGATCGAAGAGCCAGTGACTCTACAGCTCTTCCGAGACCTGTTCACGATCTTCTATGAGCCGCTTGTGCGAGTTTACAAGTCCGCAAACGTGTACAACAGCGTTACAGACTTTGCTGTGTTTATCGACGATATGATTCAGGTAAGAAGCACAACTTTCTCGAGATCGCGACATGAATTAATATGAGTACAGGTCGTCGAGAAGTGCAGAGAGCAGGACGCTTCAGCAGATCCTAACCAGACAGTACAGGCCTTCATTGATCTGTGCCAGCGTCATGAACACAACTTTTACAAGTTTGTACACGAAGTTCACACACATGATAACGGTCTCTTTACTCAGCTCATGGGCTGGATTGAGGGTATCCTTGAGTTCTTGCGCAAGGGTCCAAAGAATGGAACCCTCAATGTCAATGCATTGTTTGAGGGTGGCGTTAGTGCCGGAGTTTTAGATAAGGAGAAGGCGATGGCAGAGATTAACTCGCTCATTGCATGGCAAGAAGCCAGAAAGAAGTGGCACAACGATAAGACACGACAAAAGATGGCAGCAGAGGGACATGCTGGAAACGATTTGATGCCAGCAGGTATGAATTTCAACTCTGCCGACTTTGGGTTGGACAGCGAAGATCTTGAAGACATGGCATACGACGACGGATCCGAAGACGAGGCAGAGGCACAGGAGGAAGATGAGATGGATCCTATCGAGGCTGAAAGGCGACGCAGGGCGAAGCGACAGGATCGCTTGCGCCGAAGCGCCGGAGAACCGGCCAAGCCTCCTGTGGGAGAAGTGCACAAGTTGACTGAGAACTTCTTGATTATGCTGCGACAAGTTCTGTCCAACTAGTTTTAGCAAGATATCCTTTGTGCTGTTGTACATTGGTTTGGAGGTTTAGTATTGGCTTATGATGGATGAGAAGGACCGGATTAATGTGGGTGCTGTCAAGGTATAAACCGAATGGACTAGGAAATGGGACATAAGAATGGTTGATTCGGAATAGAAGTTGATACCAGAAGTTGAAGCTGAAGTTGCTTGACATACTATATACATGGAATTTTGGACAATATTCAGGGAGATTGTATTGGCTGCTGTGATGATTAGGAGACACGAAAACCGGACATTGAAGACCGGACCCGAAGCCTACTTGGTGTCTTCCGGGCCGGCCACGATCCAACGACCCAGTCCAGGTGTCCAGATCGTTGATTTGCCTCCCCTGACCCGTCAGCACATGCCGTCCCCTCTAATTCATATCGGAATTAGAGGTGGAAGAGGAGCCGAAGGCAAAATGTACATCCGCTTCGGCACGTGATGAGTTCAACTGTCAGGTATTGGCGTCATGGATTTGGATTTCTTACAGCGACTTCTCCCGATCCATTGAACATTGTAATGGGACCAAGATCGAGAATTGAATTATTAAGTGAACAGTAACTATGGAGTCATGAAGATAGCAGAAAATTAACCTCCAATTGGACGTTTGGCCATGCATTTCGGTCCCAAGGAATCTTGATAGCTTGCAACACATTCATGGTCATCGACTTCCGATTCACTATATCTTCAGTGGCTTACAGCGCAGAGAGTGTCCGATGTCCCCGGAGGTAGTGAGCAGTAAATACGTGTGCTGCTAATAAGCCATCGCTGATTGGTTGGATCAACCGAGGAGCCGAGAGAATCCGTCCCGGTAGAGCCTCGCGAAGAGCAAGAGACCCAAAAAAACATCAAGAGGAATAACTCGATTGGCTGAGCCCTCGATACAGTGATCCCTTCTATTTCTCCAAAACCAACCAAACCAAACCATATCCAACAAAAGTCCTATTCCTCCGCCACCCGAGGATATCGTTAAATCCCACCCTTCGATTCTCCCCGCGGATGCAGTTTGGTCTTGGTCATTGTGACTTTAGTTGATGATGGCTTCTTCTATGGCAATGAGGAAGTTGGCCCTCGGCCCTGCCGTGAGTTGCCCCCAGCCTGGCCTTCTGCGATGGCTTCATAGAAAGCTTTGGGTAGATTGACTTTGTGCTACCACCGCGAGAAGCTTTAAAACCTCTTCAATGCGCTTTGCTAACTTTGTACAGTTCACAAGGGCCGCCAGGTTCCCTACCCGAGCTTTCTCTACAACCCGACCTGTTTGTACGCTTTTCTCCACGATCAGCCCGCGCGACTTCAGATACTAATGGATTGTCTGCAGCCCGAGTTATCACTGGAAACGGTCCTCTACGAGCCAAGGAGGCCTCTCCTTTCGTGAGCAACAAATACGCTGTCATCGTACGTCTGTCCGATCATCTGCGAATCAAGGATATAGTCAATTGACGCTTTTTCAGGACCACGAGTATGATGCTCTCGTTGTTGGTGCTGGTGGTGCCGGTCTGCGAGCTGCCTTCGGTCTCGCCGAGGCTGGTTTCAACACTGCCTGTATCTCCAAGCTCTTCCCGACCCGATCTCACACTGTCGCTGCTCAGGGTGGCATCAACGCTGCTCTAGGTAACATGCACGAGGACGACTGGCGATGGCACATGTACGATACCGTCAAGGGTTCCGACTGGCTGGGTGACCAAGACGCTATTCACTACATGACCCGAGAGGCTCCCGCTTCTATTATCGAGCTTGAGAACTACGGTTGCCCCTTCTCACGAACTGAGGACGGCAAGATGTAAGTCTGGATTTTGGAATCCGCCTCAATGCGGCTACTGACCTTGAATAGTTACCAGCGAGCTTTCGGTGGCCAGTCCAAGGAGTACGGAAAGGGTGGCCAGGCCTACCGATGCTGTGCTGCCGCTGACCGAACCGGCCACGCCCTTCTTCACACTCTCTACGGCCAGTCCCTCCGCCACAAGACCAACTACTTCATCGAGTATTTCGCCCTCGACCTGATTATGCAGGATGGTGAGTGCCGCGGTGTCCTTGCCTACAACCAGGAGGACGGCACCCTGCACCGATTCCTTGCCAACCACACCGTTCTCGCCACTGGTGGTTACGGCCGAGCTTACTTCTCCTGCACATCTGCCCACACCTGTACCGGTGACGGTATGGCTATGGTTGCCCGTGCTGGCCTCCCCAACCAGGATCTCGAGTTCGTCCAGTTCCACCCTACCGGTATCTATGGAGCTGGTTGCCTGATCACTGAGGGCTCTCGTGGTGAGGGTGGTTACCTCCTCAACTCTGAGGGTGAGCGATTCATGGAGCGATATGCCCCTACCGCTAAGGATCTTGCTTCTCGCGATGTCGTTTCTCGATCCATGACCATGGAAATCCGTGAGGGCCGTGGTGTTGGTGCTGAGAAGGATCACATCTACCTCCAGCTCAGCCATCTCCCCGCTGAGATTCTTGCTGAGCGTCTGCCTGGTATCTCTGAGACCGCCGGTATTTTCGCTGGTGTTGATGTCCGCAAGCAGCCCATTCCCGTTCTTCCCACTGTCCACTACAACATGGGTGGTATTCCTACACGATACACTGGTGAGGTCCTTACTGTTGACGAGAAGGGCGAGGACAAGGTTGTCCCTGGTCTGTACGCTTGCGGTGAGGCCGCTTGTGTGTCTGTCCACGGTGCTAACCGTCTGGGTGCCAACTCTCTTCTGGATCTTGTTGTCTTTGGTCGTGCCGTTTCGCACACCATTCGTGACAAGTTCAACCCCGGTGACGCTCTGAAGCCCACTGCTGCCGACGCTGCTTCTGAGCACATCGAGACCCTCGACAAGGTCCGAACCGCCGACGGTCCCAAGAGCACTGCCGAGATTCGACTTGCCATGCAGAAGGCCATGCAGACTGAGGTCAGCGTGTTCCGAACCCAGGAGAGTTTGGACGAGGGTGTCCGCAAGATGAAGGAGATTGATGGCATGTACAGCCAGGTTAGCATGAAGGACCGCAGCATGATCTGGAACTCTGATCTTGTTGAGACTCTTGAGCTCCGAAACCTGCTGACTTGCGCGTAAGTTTCACACATTTCGATGATAAATGAAGCGACACTGACATGATGATAGTATCCAAACCGCCGAGTCTGCTGCTAACCGAAAGGAGTCTCGTGGTGCCCACGCCCGCGAGGACTACCCCGACCGAGATGACGAGAAGTGGATGAAGCACACCCTCTCTTTCCAGAAGGAGCCTCACGGCAAGGTCGACCTGTCTTACCGAAAGGTCATTGGTACCACCCTGGACGAGGCCGAGTGCAAGCCCGTGCCACCTTTCAAGCGTACATACTAAGCTAAGCGTTTACTGACACGAGGATGAGTGCGAGGACTGGGAAGGAGTTTTTGTTAGCTTGTTGGGAAACTTGGCATGCATGATTCTACGCAGGGCAGCGTCTCCTTTGTAGCAAGAGTTGCGATATATATCCTTTGGGAAGAGAAGGTGACATAACTAGCGAGAGGTTGGCCTCCGTGGAGCTTTAGCATAGAAGGCTCCATGAGGGGCGTGTATTTGTCGACTTTGTAGTTAAAAAGAAGTTAAGAGACTTAAACGAAGATTTACTATGTACTTTGTTTCTCAAGGATATACTCTTGTGCATGTTTAACTGTAGCTTGCCAGATGAGACTTGTTGTGCTGAAAATGTGTTCTTTATCAAACGTGCAGACGAATGATGTTTGTGTATTGTGTAATGGTCCTTTGTTCTGAGAGCAAACAACGAACAACACTAGGACAATATTATTGACCCGAGAACAATGTTGATACAATAATGAAGCTATTGTATGTATTGAGTCGTGTTCAGAGGCTCATTAATGTATAAAACCCAGCTCGTTGTGAGTGGAATACGTCCTATCTTAACCAACATCTCATTCTCATTACAATCAGAATTACAAGACTCATCACCAAACTCACCGTTCCAGCAATTCCACACTACTATTTGAGCAGATCGTACCAAACCGAATTTGCCCATCATGTGCATCCAAATCACTCGTGTTTCTGTTTGCTGGCAATGTCGTACTGCGCTGGAAGCTTTTGGTAATATCCGATACTGTGGTGACATTATGGACAAAGGTGGGTGCTCCGAAATCAAACAAGCAGAGGTCTTTGGCCCTCCGGACCTACTCTGTCGCCCGTGTTTAGGGAAACATGAGGGAAAGAACAAATTGAATGAGAGGCAGACGATCGTGCAGAAGCAAAAAGATTGGAGTGGTTGAGTTTGAACGTACTGCAAGGTAAAGGCTGGACCTTGAGATGAAATAGGCCTGGAGCACAAGACATGTAAGCTAGGTAAGAAAAGAAATATTTTGTATTCCGGGTTTATGAAAGAATGACGGCTATCTTTCGAAGTGGCTGCTTATCCTGTGCTCATTATATGTTGTCAAAGTTCATTCGTGTATTGGCTAAGTGGTCTTAATGCTTCGTTGCTATGTAGTTTGATATAAACTATGATTCATTCACTTTTTCTCTTTGTCCTGTAACTCGCTGCCTCTTTCTTCGTCCTCTGTTGGTGTTGGCGATGTCACGGCCTTCTCTCGTCGAGGATGCCAACCTCCTTTCCAACCAACCCAGCCATCTTCCCTGGGACCTCTTGCAAGAGAGATTAATAAGGACAGTACTACGAATGCAACTGAAGATCAAAGTTAGTATTGGCCTGCAAGAACCGATGGGAGAATTGCATAACGGTATAGACTCACTGCTCAAACCGCCACTTCTCTTCCAGCCTCCACTGGCATATAATCTGTTTCCCGCTGCTGTGCCAGTCAATTGGCCAGCAAAAGCCAGTGCCATATAGGCTGTGTTGACTCGATTACGTGCTTTGGGGTTGATGCCAAAGATAGCTGAGCGATTGGAAACCTGAGCAGTCTGCATACCAACATCTATACCTATAGCCTGGAGGACGGGACCTGCGATAGTAAAGTTTCCAATGAATGTTCCTACGATAGCTCCTATCAACGCCAGGATCTGGCCACCAATGGTTGGTAGCAGAGGAACGTAGCGATCAATCAACCTTCCAATCAGTGGAATGGACATTATAGTCGCAAGTGCTGTCAGGGAAAAAAGGCCGATCTGAAGAGATGTATAGTCAAATGGCGGAGAAGCGAGTAAAAATGTCAAGGTTGTCCAAAACGATGTAAACACGGCTGACAGGGTAAAAGCGATAAGACAGGCCTGTATAAGCACAGGTTCTGTAACCATCATGTAAGGAATGGAAGACAGTGCACGGAAATAATTGAGGCCATCAGGATTTGTGGATGGATAGTCGGGCATGAAGCAGAAGAGCACAACGCCCATGAGATACTGCAGTCCACAGGCTATCCAATAGATGTTACGCCAACTTGTGAAGTTGGTCACAACCCCGGATAGTAGTCTGGCCATGAGGAGACCAAGCATAAGTCCCGACGTGACGATGGCTAGAAGAGACGCCTTTCGATGTACAGGCGCAAAGTCCCCGACAAGAGGGACCATCAGCTGTGGTGTTACAGTGGTGGCGCCGCAGAGGAAAGACAAAGTTCGGAAGACAGTGAAGTCATTCGTGACGCAGAGTCCTATCCACTGCATTCGTGTGTTGTCAGCAACTGAATACGATCAGGTAAATGGCTAACTTACCATTGTTGCAGTGGCAAAAACTAGGCTGATGATAAACGGTCGTCTCTCGAGAATATCTCCGAGTGGAAGAACAAAGATTAGTCCAGCCGCGTATCCTGACTGTAGTAATGTCGCAACTTGGGAGGATTCTTCATATGAGACATTGAATGTTGCGGCTATCTTGTTTAGAATTGGTTGGTTGTAGTAGAGATTTGCTACCGTGATACCCGAGGCCTGCCATTGTTAGAAAACAACTTGCATCGCAGGATGATTAACTCACCATAGCATAGAGAAGACAATGACCAATGGACAAAGCTGGTGGCGACTCATCATTCCATCGACAATTCCTCGGTGTCAATATCCTACGAATCCAACTGGACTCGTATTTTGAAGACTGCAGGACCACATTGTTAGAGCCCGTCTCTTCAGTTGAGGCAGCCGAACTCTGGACTTTAGGATCTTCAGTAGAATCCTCAATGGGAATTGTCTCCCTGATGCTATCATCAGCAACATCTGACCCCACGGGCCTGTTCAAGGACGTCATCGTAGATTGGTAGTCGCCAATGACAAGATATGATAACAAAGTATCAGCATAAAATAACGAGCATATTCGAATGACAAGACACAATGTGAGTGGGACTGAAGGTAGTTATATAGAGGTTGCCATGATAATGGAGAAAATTGGACTAGGTCAGTCAAAGTGGGATTTAATAACCGACGATCTCCTTAATGGAGTTTCGGAATAGTCAAGTAGTATCACGCAAGCTACAGCACCGGGGGTAAGGCTCTTGCATCCCTTTTCCCTACCTGCTTAATCCATGATGGGTTAATGCTGTGTTGGCAGAAAGTGCAGTGCAGTTGGTCGGATATAAGAGTCCGTAATACCCGGCTTTAAGATGATCAATGATGCAGCTAAGTTGGGCAGGATGAAGTGCCATTGTAGTCTTCTAGGACCGATCTCGGAGACTAATTGAACAGAGCTTCATTATATCTCATACTTTCAGCATCACTATGGTTGATTCTCATTGTACTTCCTTGGGATAGATAGCTCAAATTCCCAAAAGTCTGGTCCTTTTCACGATGACATCTACTATAGCATGACTGGCAGAAGATTCACCTTGGCCATCTCATTTTTTAACAAAATACATCATCCTCAATTCCCATCGACTCCACATCAAGCCAGGTCTCACTCCTTTTTGTTTCATAAATCAAGCAACGAGTTTACCTCTTCTTGCCCTTGCGCTTGTTGGCCTTGCCCTGCGAAGCGCCAGATGCCTTGGCCTTGCTGAGCGAATCAGTGCTCTTGTCGAGAAGCTCAAAGTCCTCGCCGGCAGAGTCAGTGCTGGGAGTAGGTTGGGGAACGTCAGAGTCCTCCTCATCACCCGAAACCTCGAGCTCAAGGTCGGAGGACTTCTTGGGGAGGAAACGGCCAGCGGTGATGTTGAAAAGGAAGATCGGGGCACGGAAGACAGCAGTGTCCTTGATGGTAGGCTTGGCAAGCTCGTTGGGCTGTTGTATGTTAGTTTTCTGGCGTCTTGATAGGTGGGGGGTTACTTACGTCAAGGAGGTACTCGTGGATCTCTCCCTCCTCGTCCTCTCCCTCGAGATATACATCACCAAGGGAGTCAACAACGAGAATCTTGCCGTTCTCAGCAACGACACGCTTACGAGCGCCAGTAGGACCAGCAGTAGGAGTAGGAGTAGCAGTTCCAGATCCAGAAGAAACCTGAGCTCGGCGGGTCTTCTTGACAGGCTTGCCGCCGTCACGCTTCTGTGCCTTCTCATACATGCGGCGCTCTCGTCGGTTCTGGGGCAGAGGAGGAGCCTCTTCCTCCTCGCTCTCGGGCGCAGCAGGAGCAGGAGCAGGGGCGGGTGCAGGTGCAGCAGCCTCGACGCCGGGGATGTTGAGACCACCACCCCAAGCAGTTTCCCTGGCAAACTTGATGTAGCGGTCGACAAACTCGGTCTGACGCTTCCAGCTCATGTAGAGGGTGAGGTAGTGAATACCACCACCAACAACGAGGAACAGGCCAACGATGACCGTGCCCAGGCCGGGTCGGTAACGGTTGTAGTAGTAATCGGTGCCCTTCCAGAGAGGGAAGCCATTGGAGAGGAAATGGTCGTAACGATCACGCTCGGGGCCACGGAGGATGTTGGCAATGAGGGAAAGACGGGCCTGAGCCTCGCCAGCCTTCTTGACAGCGGTCCTGATCTCAGCATTGGTGGGAGGCTTGACCTTTGCGCCTGACTTCTTGTCCTTTTCAGCCTTTGATCGCATTGACTGTCTGACCTTGTCGGGATGCAAGTTTCGAGTCTGCTTGCGATAGGCCTTTGTAACGTCGTCGAGCGAAGCAGAGTTGGGCACGCCGAGAATATCGTAAAAGTTGGCGGCCGGGTCGGTCTCATACTTTGCGATTTCATCTCTGATGCGGAAGATTTCGCGATCTAAAGAGTAGAACAAAAGGTTAAGACATGTTCAGACGGATAGAGAGAGAGACATGGTAGTCGTAAACATACCTTCTTTGCTCCAAGCAGCGGCCAAGGGGCTAAAGAGGGCGAGTAGCCCAACGGACAAGTACGATATCTTCATCTTCGACTTGTACTCCGAGTAAGGAGTAAGTTGAAGAAGAGGAAGTGTGTAAAGAAAGAGAGAAAAGATGGGGTAGAAGAAAAGAAAAAGTAGAAAGAGAAGGGGAAAGGCCAGGGGGTGTATAAATGTAATGGACGGTTCCTGGCTAAAGCTGGAGCCGGTAGCTAAAGTTAAGTTAGATCTGGACTTATCCCTACCTCTGGGTACTTTTTTTTTTTAGTGGAGGAGGGGACCTATTGCAGAAGGCCAGCTGTTCAATACTCAATTACTTGCTCTGCTATTGCTCTACCTATTGGGACAAAAGCAAAGCGCCTCCAATTAAGAGTTTGTCTAACAAAGGCAATTCAATCCAATATTTCTCAATTGAATACTCGACAACTAGCCAATTGTTTGGTTAATGTTTGTAGTGGGTAGTAGCTTATGAGGAGCTGTTTGACAACGACCCTTCATGTTGCACTAAAAACTATCTGGAGCTCTCAAACAAGGATTCAACGCCAGCAATTCAAACTCAGTTTGTCCAACCCATCAATTCAACTAATAAAATATTTACTCCTCCAAGTCCTCAGCCTTGAGAAGAATCATCATAAAAATCTACTCGAAATGTCGATTCTTGTTGCAAATTCCGCTTAAAAAACTCACTTTGACGAGCAAGACCATACTTCCCACCACCACTGCAATGCTCACCCCCAGGAATCAATAGAAACTCATAATTCTTACCTGCCTTGTTCAAAGCATTCACCATCTGAAATGTTGAAGACGGGTCAACGTTTTTGTCAACGTCTCCAACAATCAGCATCAGCGGACCTTTAAGCTTGGAAGCGTGCGTAATGTTGGACGACTTCTCATATGCTTCATCGACTGGATATCCCATCCATAACTCATTCCACCATATCTTGTCCATACGGTTATCGTGACACCCCGAGTCTGCGACACCTGCTTTGAAAAAGTCGCTGTGATGAAGCATTCCTGCCACGGCATTCTGACCCCCTGCTGACCCGCCCATAATTCCTACACGAGATAGATCCATCCATGGCCGAGTTGATGCCGCACTCTTTAACCAGGCGATATGATCCGGAAGCCCCGAGTCGTGAAGATTCTTGTAGCAGACATTATGGAAGCTTTTGCTACGCCAGTCTGTGCCCATTCCGTCGATCTCTACTACGATATAGCCTTTATCAGCCCATAGTCGTTCACGCGATAGTGATGTGAAGGCTTTGGGGACGTGAAAGTCATGCGGTCCGGCGTATATATCGTCGAGAACGGGGTACTTCTTGGTGCTGTCAAAGTCGGCCGGGCGGACGATGATTCCATAGATGAGAGTCTCGCCATCACGGCCAGGAGCAACAAATCTTTCTGGCAAAGAACATCCTTTGTCTTTCAAATCCTTCTGGTCCCCCTTTCCGAGCTCCATTATCTGCTCTCCCGACTCACCGTCACGGAGGACTGTTGTGGGTGGAGAGTCAACCCTTGACCAGGTGTCTGTCAAGTATCGCTTGCCAGGGGATAATGTCCAGGAATGAGTTCCATCGCCCTCTGTAAGAATCTTGAAGTCTGATCCGTCAAAGTTGACTCGGGCCAAATGTGCATGGTACGGATCCTCACTATCCTTGAGCCCATAAGCCTGGAACCATATTCGGCGTGCATCTTTATCCACAAACTCTATAACATTGACCATCCAGGATCCCTTTGTTATTTGCGTTTTGATAGTACCGGTGGCCATGTCAACGAGATAGAGGTGGTTGTATCCATCCCGCTCGCTCGTCCATAGAAGTTCGTCCGACTCCTTGAGGAATTTGTAGTATGACTTTGTATAGTCGACGAAAGTGTCGCTTGTCTCCTCGACAATTGTCCTAACGCTTCCGTCGGTGCTGATGCCTATAACCCTGACAGTCTGATGGCTGCGTTCATTAAAGTAGAAGAGGTACTCTGTGTTATTCTCCTTCCACTTGAGATGATTCAGCTTGTAGGGGTTCTTAAAAAGCGTGTCGTCTGTTGAAACTTCGTTTCGGCTCTTGAGATCAAAAAGACGAGGCCTGTCTATCCTCACACGATCGCCCGGTTTGAGGTACTTTTTTGTGTGGAGTTTCGGCTCGATCTGGTCCTCTGGAGACGATTCCACTAGGTTGATTTTGTGATCTTGTGCTGGGGTATACTGCCACGCAACTACATATTTCCCATCTGTCGAAGGATATATGCGGATCTTATCAAACTGATTATCTTCAGTGCCGTCCTTGGACAATTGAATGTCTTGGCCATCGTCGTCCTTATACCAAAGATTGAACTCTTTGACATGACAGGCGCCGTTCTCGACTTCGGATGGGTCCTCGTCGGCCTCGGACTTCCCATCATCACTAGACGGGGATGCTTCTGGAATGGAATCACTAAGACTCTCAATGATAGCGGCATGAATGCCCACGTCAAGTGCCGCATAGACTGCCCTGAACTTCTCATCTGAGACATCTACGAGTCGCCAAACATGGCCCACGTAGGTAAGTTGACGCTTTGTCTGACCGTTCTTGATTGTCCTGTAGTATACAGGCTTTCCATCCCAGTCGATCCAGTACACCTTGAGTGTCTTTCCAGTCCGGTTTACGAAATCAACCGTGACGTCGGTGTGATTATGCGAGGAAGGGGCTTCTTTCTGAAGTAGGCACTCTGGCTCTGTTGCAAAGTCACCATCCCACTCTTCAAGTTTATCTTCTGGCCCGAATTGCCATTTGCGATTATCGAAACGGAATCGAATGCATGATTCCTCGGGTACAGGTTCAATAAAGGCAAACGGCAGGGCCAGGTCGTTGCCCTCCTCGTTTGTCTTTTGTCGTAGGACCTCGGCAAGCAACTTGTGATCGAATGCAAGCTCTCGGCTTTTTTGAATAATGTCGACAAGGAAGAACTCATGTTTGCCTGGCTCGTGACTCTGCTTGTACCAGAATGCATTTTCGCCTGGCAGCCAGTGAGGCGTAACGTTTGTTGAACTGATACAGGCTTCTACTACCTTCTCCATGGCTCGTGTTTTTAATTAAATGATAAAGGAAAGAGAAGAACAATGGTGCAAATGAGTTTGGCCATCATGGCACTTTGTGATGCTGATGCCTAATGTGATACAACGTTCTGTCATCAATCAGCTGAGGCACGAATGCATGTATCCCAATCAGTAGCCAATATGAAAGCAAAGCAAAAGGAAGGAGGATCTTACAACGGCCCGGAATGATGGAAGTTCCATTACTCATTGATAAGGAAATAATAAATCCGTTTGTCTTCGCCAGCATAGAGTATAAGAACTTCTTATATAACCGCACTTACTCCTTGTCCTCATCCCCCACCCCTACCTCATTCCTATTTATAAAATAAAAATTACATTCTATAGAATATTTAAAACTAAATATATATTATATTATTTAAATAGGAACTTTATTATGTGGGAAAAGCTCAGTATAACTATATTTTATTTATTTATTAAATCTTTATAGATATAGTTAGAATTTGATACGTAAAAGTGCCCCTACTTGGAGAGGTAGGCATGAATAATAGTATATTGACTTCAAATTGAAGCTCTTCTATTAATAAGGAAAGCAGCTTGGCGCAGTGGAAGCGGGGGCGGGGTATGTTAGGTATATAGGAACAAACTACAACCAAAACCTTCACCAAGGAAAGCAGCTTGGCGCAGTGGAAGCGCGGTATGTTTACTCGAATCTTCTATCCCCAAATTCGCACTAACAATTCCTCAGCCGGGCTCATAACCCGGAGGTCACTGGATCGAAACCAGTAGCTGCTAGCTATGAACATCTTTTTTGGCCCACGATGTTGCCATGATTAGTAATCCTCATCATAACTCGGTTGGCAAGAATGATATTCTTTCTGTCTTTCTTTTTCTTCTTTTTCTTTTTTATCTCTCTTGGTGCTGCTAAACTATGCATATATGCATATGGAGGCAGCTCTTAAAAGTTCTTACCAGCAGGACTGAGGCTGAGGAACTACACTAGCCACCGATATGTAAGGTACTTTTACTTTAACTATAAGCGTTGTTAACAATCTCGCTATAGGCGAAACCAGCAGATACTATAGATATTACCTAGACCTTAGGCCCCTCTAGCCATGGAGTAGCTATAAGATGTATACTTCTAAGGTTAATTTGGCTTCTTATGTCCTTAAGTATCTTGCAAGGATAGATAATATGGCGTAATCTTCCTTAGGTAAGAACTTTTCAGGGCCACCTCCGTACTGCTCTCAAATTTATGTTTCTATAGAATACTAAATAAAGGGCTGAGCTCTCTATACTTAAAGATGTGCTTAAACAAAGATTACGCATACACAGAGACCAGGTGGAAGCTGTCGTCCATTACTCAGTATATGTTTCTCCCCAAAACCATAAATAACGAGAGGAAGAAGTTTTCATTAAAGAAAAACCTAGGTACATAAATAGATGTCCCGGTCCACTCCATTTTATACACACGACAGTCGACGTCCCTCCATCAAACTTTGTTAAGATACCACTTGCACAAAGCGGGAAAAAGACTGTGGACACTTCCCACCGTGTTACCTTCCACCACAAGCATAAAGCATCAGTAGGCGGTCGTATGTGGATGGCACATTGTTCTTTTTACCCAAGAAAAACCCCGATCCAAATAAGCCCAATATAAACCCGGAAAATGTCGATACTGAGGTCGCTTTTGTCAAATTAAGAAGCGCTGAAAGCAAGAACGAAAGCTGAGTGTACAACAGCTATGCATTATGCCAATGCCGCACCAAACTCGGAGTTAAGAGCAATTCACTCATACCGGTTCCTCTTCTTTCGAATCATAAGGTTACCAAAAACGAGCCCCAGCCAAGAACAAATGGCTGCTTGCCGGTAAAAAAAGAAAGCCGAGTGCGCGTGAATTTGGGATAATTCGGGATGGGTTGCGAGACTTGTTTACAGCTTTATTGAAACCCAGAGTATTTTTCTTCTCGCGGAGCCCCATCAGTTGAGTTTGGACACACAGTAAATAGTTCGAGCCGGACGCAGAGACAGTCTGTAGCATATATAGGTATACACTTTGAATAGATAACGGACAATGGTTCAAGGTAGAAAGCGTTATGACAAGCAGTTAACAACTTGACGAGTCTCACAGTGTGTTCCTGACCCTCCACTGAACAGTGTCGAAATGAAATTAGCACCCGCGACTTTTTTCTACAGCGTGTAATGTCGAACCATGCCCCAAATATTTATTGCTAGATTGACGATCAGCCTAGACCGAAGGTTTTTAGGCGTCCCAGTTGATTTCTAAAAACGACTAATGCCGACAACTAGATAGGCCACAGCCGCACCAAAGCTCAACATGAGACCAGAACATGTTGTAGAGTGTGTTGTGTATGTAAATTCCCGAGACCTCATCGTATACACAAGATCAGGGACGGTCAGACAAAGTACCTGTAATGGTACTATATATTCTGTCAAGTTCAGTTGCTGAAGGTAATGAAAGTGATTGCGTGAAGTAGTACTGCGACTTGACAAAAATTGTCAGGTTTTGGTAGGAGCTGTCAATCCTGCGCATCGACTCGGTGTCTGAGAAAATTCGACGTTGCTTCCTGTGAAACCAAGAGAAAAGAACGCTTGCTTGTGACCGCCCACTTTGGTATGGCTGTATCAGCAATGTCCAGAAAAGTGTTATTAGAACATGCAAGGATGGGAATAATGCTCCTATAACAATCATCGTGCTGGTATATATGATGCATACCGGCGATAATCTATTTGTTGTTGCGTGTAATGCGCTGATGGCGTGTTTGACATTCATCATGCTCCAATGTCAAATAATCGCACTTGCCTACAGCGAAAGCAAGTTCTGTGGTACAGTCAAGTTGACACTGCCTTACAGACCATGTTCGATTGTACTCCCGATATCATCAATTTTCGTAATGATGAGGAAAGTATAGGATTGCGACAATGTAAATCGAATTCGCGTCAATATTGAAAGGTCTTTTCTCCGCCACTAGACATAGAGGTGTCCAAGAATCGACGGCTTTCGTGACACCAGAAGCGGAGATATAATAATTGTTGAGAAGTGAAGAAATTGTGAGCAAGGGAACGACCTCAGACGAAGTCGTGCTGCTATGCAGATGAATAATTGCTTTTAGAGGGATAAAAGAGAGATATGCAAAAAACAGAAAACTTGTTCAAGTATTCATCACTTGGACGGCCATCTCTATGGGTATATCTGATGAACACCGCCGGTTTGTCAGACTTTTCGACCAGATTTTGTCGGAATCCAAGGTGAAATGACGAAAGCAATTCAAGCCTCTGGCGCGCTTCAGGATTTCAAAGCTCTATGTTTTACTTTGCTGACGGGCTCGGCCACAAAGTTATCAGTGATCCCTCGCATGGTGACATAAGCGTCTCGAAGGGGATCGGATTGTAGTTCTGTATTGGCCTTCGTCCACTTGCCAGAATATAATGAGGCGTTGTGTAACAGTATGTGAGCGCTGGTTGACAGGGAATAGAAAGGCCATTCTCCTTATCCTGAGTCCTGGCTTTAGGTTTGAGGAAGGTGCTCTGACGATCATGGGACATGGCGGGGCCGTATTTGATAAGCAAGAAGCCGAGTTAGCGGTGTCAACAGCTGAACCATCGGCGACGTGAAATGTAATGATAGAACTGACTATTGACAGTCGAATCTCTTTGGACGAACAGGGAAGGATATTTGGGATCCGTGCCATCAAATGATCTTCTAGATCCTGCACGGTGGTGTTTTGAGAATATAGCTGACTGTGTTAGAAGCCAACGATCGTCTGGAGATTAAGTTGAGCGGACACAGAGCGTTCAACGGTGACTGAAACCGGACATCGACGCAGTAACGTAACGAAAAGCACGATAGTGTCTTCCATGCCGTGTCAAGATATCAGTAACCCACATTGTAAAATGCGGCTGTTAGAGCTCTGTATTGATAGAAGTGCCCTTCGAAATTGCAAACGCCGTAGTAGGATGCTCAAACCACAATCATGGGTGGTATATAGGCCTCATAGTCGAACAATAGTTGTAGTGTGTTTTGTGTCTCGTCGACTCGTACATGTCTCGTGATAGAAATACGATAAAGTGGGTGTGTTTGGGGTGCAATGGACCACACCTGAAGCGTTAATATCCGTAGCCCTTTGAGTAGAACGCAGAACGGGTGGAATGGGAAAAGCGCCATCATAGAGATCAAGGTAGGCCACGTCAAAGGGAAGTCTCGATGCTTTCCACGCCGTATAAGAGTAATGATAGGAGTTATCGATCAACCATAAGATCGATATAGGGTATATGAATCACTCTCTTGTCAGAGTTGCGAAATGTTTGATGAGGGTTTTTGAAGAAGCCAGATACTTAGGTATGACTTTGCGTATTGAAGCGATTCGACTCAATTGGTGAAAGGTTTGCGATCCAATACTATCGACATGAACCGAGATCCTAACAGGGTGCGTAGAGTTTGTTTGAAGGATATACAGCTTCGACAAATATTTCAGCTCTGTAAGATTGATCAAATGTTCGTAACCATCACCGCAGATGCTTAAGATGATAAACAGGAAAGTGATGCCATTCCGTTCATTTGAGCCAGGTTATGCCAAGACACCGTGATGATAATGGGAGGGAAGTCCGGGTTCGAACTTGAAGCCATCATATCAGCCACCCTGGTAAGATTCGTGCCTTGCTTCTGCTAAAGCATCTGATTTGATTCCTGCAAAAAGTGAATGATGAGATTGTTCAACACGAACATCTTGGTTCAGAATCGACAGCATCTCTCGACATACGTAGTCAGTGCGTGTGTCGTTCCCGACTTCTAAACGTGTGACGTTTTATTGGAAGTTCGGCTGTGCAAGGCTATAAACAAGAGTTGAGAATAGGGATTTGTGATTAATAGGATCAATTCTGAGTTCCTGGGACGGCTGTGGAAGGAAATCCAGGCTGCGTTCTCGTGGATTGGTAAAACCATAAATCAATGCGGCTTTATTCACAAATGCCGCTGGCAAACCAGCTCGACTTTCGTGATAGGGCTCATGTAGACACTGGCGATTCGATAAGTCGCAAAACTAATACGAATCAATGCCGAAATGTTCCGATTTGTCGTTTATGTATAAGGCACGAGACGGAAGGGTAGGGAAGCAAGCATAGGAATCACCACGCTTGAATCAAGACACCTCCATCCACCGAACTTCGAATGATAATAAAAGTATTCCAGCGGGTTCAGGGATTCATAAAATATCAGACGTCGCCAGACCTCAAGACCTCAACGGAGGGAGTCATCAGACGTCGGGGCTTCGATCTATCTTTCCCTTAACCAGGACCATCCAACGGCAGGACTGGTTTTTGGTAATCGAAAGAATCGATACTAAACCTATCAGGGAAGCTGCCCTCCTCCTAACGGATGTGAGAGCAAGCAACATCCGCCAGCGTGTGGTCCCCAGCAAGCTGGCTCACACACAAACCATACTTTATGATGGCGGCGGCACAATCTGTTGAATACACTCGCTGGGATTCAACCAGGTCCACGCCTTTTACATCAACAGTTGGCGACCTAGCTGCATCTACTATCCGAAGCACACCGGAACTAGGTTCTGGCTTACCCTTCGGAATTCGAATGGCCGGGAAATGAAGGACTCGACGCCCCGCGACTCGAGATTCATCACCAGCCCTTGGCTAGGTCCCTGATAGGCTTGAAGGCGGCGGTAGCTTATCCTCCAACTGTGGCGGGGCTGGGGATCAGGCAAAGCGCACGGTTGCGACTGAGCCACTACCGGCATGGTTATTTTCTTCACCATGCCAAAAGACAACCTATCTGTGACCTGATAGGAGGGACATTTATGACCTGTCCATAGTCGTCTGAAGAAGGGGTTCGGAAGGGATGTGAAAGACAACGGGTACAGAAGAGGAGAGATGAGCGATCCGATGCTGGAGCGAAGACCGTGCCGATGATGTCGTGAATATCTCAATGAAGAGAACGACTTTGTCGGCTATCTTCGTCGACTCCAGACTCAAAAGCAGAATCCGGGCAAACACGAAAGTTTGCGCGACCGGATGTGAGCTGGTTGAGTGGTGTATAGCCCTCATCGCGATCAAGCTTCATCTCTCGAACCTGGGAAATAAGATCAACCAACTCTTTCGAATTGGCCTTTCCGGGCGTCTGGGGCTCTACCAGCACCTCAGATACATCGCGTAACTCAAATTCGCCGTAGCGAATGGTGTTTGCGGCAACCGGAAAGCTATCCATCGTTCCGGGGAACGCTTGGCCAACGACAATGACAAGACGGAGACGGAGACGATGGCCCCAAGTACTTTGGAGCCACCGGAGGCTCGAGACGTCTGTCGTGAGACCATCTATTCCTACAGAGAGGAGCTCGACGGTTATGCCATCTGCCGCTGCATCGAGGATAGTGATCATTTCCTTTGTAACGGCTCTAGTCTCTTCCAACGGCCATTTGCTAGCGACACGAGCCCGCGGGATAGCCATAATCAGCGAGGTAGATGTTGGCTCAAGGCCAGACCAAGCTTTGGCTGCGACTCCGGCGCGGATGAACATGCCCTGCAAGCCGTATGTGGGCGGAGCTGAACTGGCACGAGTGAAAGCGATGATGATTCGTTGGTAATCATCGGCTTGTTGACGGACAAAACCAGCCTGAATTCTGGTACCGTTTAACTCGAACCAACTGGCCCATGGTCGGTTCGTCACTCGGCCATTGCTGCCACCTGCACCCGTTGTTTCTTTCTCGACGAGGTCCTCGAGATGCTTGTAGCGTCTGTTCCACTTTCCATGTGTAGTCCAGACGTCTGGTCTGAGTCTGTGGCACTCGCGACCAGAGTTGTGCTTGAAGATCTCGAGGAGCCGTTCATCGGTATCCTCTTCCACCTCCTCCAGCTTCCTCTTGGTTCCTCGACGGATGGCAAGTCCTAAAGTTATCATTAGTATAATTGATTCGACTAGTAGTTACATATAAACTGACGGTCTTCACCAAAGAGGGCTTTAATCTCATCGTCCTCCTCCTTGCTGGCCGTAGCCAAATCCAAACGGACACCCAGGCGACCGCCAGAAGACAGCAAAAGGACGGCCGAAACGCCAGGCTCCTTGAGGAGCTCGTCCAGAAGTTGTCGCGCACGCTCGGATGACATTTTGAACATTGATTCACAACAGAAAAAAAAAGGCCGAAAGCTTTGCACAATGATTCAAGAGGGAGAAACAGAAAGATTGAACGGTTGGGAACAGGTAGTCTGGCTTTACGAGAAGGCAGGCATCTTTAGGCATACAGGTATCCCAATGGGAAGGAACGAGTCCTCTCATGGGCAAGAGCTCAAGATGTGGAAGGAACAAGCCCCTTCAGGGCAAGAGTTCGAGATACTGAAGGAACGACACAGCCATCTCTCGTAACAATGCGAACGGCTCAAGCAAACGAATTCCATCTTACTCACCATAGGTAGTCTGCATTTATCACCCTAGATGTCTGAAAGAATTCCGGTTCGAAGACACCGATTGCACCCTGTAAGGATTTATGAGAAGCCCTCCTGATCCGAACCCCTTTAACTTACTCTATACTGTGATCGTAGTATTTGAACTTCACTTGAGGCTCAGAATTATATAAGCATTTAATCCATGACAACATCGGTTTGGCCAGATCTCTCTGTTATCGTAGTCTTATGAGTGATCGTCGACTTACTATGTATCGACTATAGCGAGGTTCGCATTATGATAACCTTAGATACAAGTTCTTTCCATCATCCTGGCTGTCATGTCGCCGGGCTCATAACCCGGAGGTCACTGGATCGAAACCAGTAGCTGCTATATTACTATTTTTTTTTAGTACTATTATACCCAACTTCTTCTCCATTAGTTAAAATCTATCTATATTTAGCCGTTTTTTTTAATCTGTAATATATTAATTGGCTGGAATATAATTCTTTTTCCCAGACTAAGGTTAGTAGGAAACAATTTGCAAGGGAAAGATATACATGCATTATATGTCCATACCTACTAGTAGGTGGGTTAGCAATTATTGTTGCACCCCTGTTAGGTACATAAATACCTATAGTTTAGTAACTATTGCGCTGTCGGCCTGGGCATTCAAAAATCGCACAATGCTCTGCAACTAAAATTTCTTAACCTGCCTAAAATAAACCCCGTCAACTATACCTACCTGCCCATTATGCCCAGATTAAAGGCGAATGCCGCCAAGAATCATGTCGTCGACTTTACAGATCATGCAGGCCGACCAGCAAAGATGGCCTGGTGCGCCCAGCCAGAAGAAACCATACCTCCACTTACAAGTTGGTGTTTCTACTTTGTTCATCCTGACTTCAGTCTCGATGAGCTTGATACGCGTCGTCTTCGGCATGATATACAAGAAGGGTATGGCGACCGTATGCGATATGAGCTTTTTTGCATCCCTGGCGGTAGTCGTGCCGACTGTGCTCAACATTACCGCGAGGAGCTCGAGTCTCGTGGTGACGACTTTGAGCAGGTCCGAGAGGCTGAGAGAGCTGAAAAAGATCCCGAATATGCAGCTGTGCGAGGGTCCCGAGGCAAACTCCCTGGCCTGCCTGCGTCACAGAGGTACCCGGGGAATATGTCCTATCACCACTTCGTCTGCATATACAAGGATCCGACTTGGAACCACGATAGCGACGAAATGGAAATTGATGTTGTTGAGTTCGATCCAGCACTGACGGATGAGGATTACGAGCCTGGTGAAAGGATATACCCGCAGGACCCTATGGTAACAACACGGGTATCAGCTAAGTATAGAAAGGAGGACCAAACGTCTGAGGGCCAGGATCTGTGGGGGTGGTTTCTGAACAGTAGATCTCCTGATTGGTACCATTCAACCGTGTCAGCAACTTCCATTGCTCGGGAATTGGGATGGGCGTCGTGGTAGCGAAGTTAAAACGACCCTGTGCAACAAGTTAAGCATATGTCCAATGAGATAGTGGCGAGCACGTAATGATTCATCGTGATTCTAAGACTTCTTCAAGTCAATTATAACTCAAAACCGCCAAGTGAGGGACGAAGTCAATACTGGACTTTGAAAATCACGTCGAACCGAGCATAAATTAACTAACTAATTTCGTCTCTTATACTTCAAGCGGCCAAAGTTTCTGATACCCTGCCGAGGCTCAGAGCCTCAAAAAGGTCCAGCCGCACCAAGACTAGGCTTCCACAACTTTTCGAAATTACTCTGCGCCCAGATTCTTGGGTTTTCATCATTACGGGCGCCATGGCCGCGCGCTCCATTAAACTTCAGCGTCTTTTTACTGATATACCCATTGTCGTTGAATATACGGCTGGTCCAGTCTTGATGTCTGGGAGTTCCCTTAAACCTGGCATCGTATTGGTTGGTAGCTTGGGTGAGCCAGTCTCGGGCAGCGATTTCAACTTCTCCCAGTATCTTTTCGATCCAGAAGCAGTACAAGTCACGTAGACCTGCTTCGGGCTGCCCAGGGATGCGGTCAGGGAGACCAAGCTCGCCGTCGCTGTGAATAGTATCCTGCCCCCACAGATATTCCCTATCGAATTGTTCTAAAACAGTCTCCATATGTCGGGAAACATCGTAGAATTTTGCCCAAATCTCGGGTAAATTCATGTAGTAGAACACTCCAGCAACCTGCATTGAGGAAATTAGCCTTTGAGAATATTCAAACTTTTCCCAGCACTTACATTGCGGTGATTGAGGCGATGATCCCTGTCTACGTTGCTGAACTCTGGACTCAGTTTTTTGCCACCGAACAAATTGCCCTTTCTGCCATTCACGCCCTTATGGCAAAGCGCAAGCCCTTTGAGGTTGTGATTACCCGGTAATCCACGAACCATCTCAGCCCAAACATCATCTTCCTGATAAATAGATGGCCTGAATGTTCTATCGCCACTTGGCCCTTCTATGCCTATAAGGACTTCGGCAACCCATCCTTCCGATGGCTTTGCGTACCCACCTGGCAAAAGATCAGTTTGGTAAAGCCATCTCATGAACCTTTGAACGAGTTGGACTTCGTAAACGTGTTCGGCTGTGACATTGGTTAATACATGAAGGTGGCATAGGAATTATGGGATTACACCTACTAGCATAATCGTCTGACTTGACCTGTTTTAGGCTCAATTTACTCAATTTGGCCTCGCAGCCCTTTTCCTGCGTTTTCGGATATCCATACCATCGGGCAACACCAGATGGAGCATAAGAGCAGGTAGGGTATGTGCCTAGGCTAAGCGTGTAGTCGTAGCCATCGTGTGTCCATTCAACCTCTTTTTTCTCTCTATCACTTCTCGTCTCCAACCGTTGTGGCTCAATTGGAAAGTTCCTCTCCTCCATACTGGCAGGACAGGTAGGCTCACGAGTGCTATCCGGATCGAGCCAACATGTTCCGAGATCAGAGCCAGAATCATCGCGCTTTTCTTTGTCGCTCTTGTTCTCATATTCATCGTCATCGTCTTCACATTCCAGACATTTTGGAACCCGACCAAAATCGATGTCGCCAGGGCAAAAAAGTCCGTCGATCCTAGGGACCAATGGGCCATATGTCTCTCGCTTCTTCAGTCCATGCGAGACAGATGATCCGTGTCCGACATAAGGGTCCTTGGATGTCGATGTGAACCGTCCTAGGGGGCTTCTTTTGCGTTTTGAATCGGAAGTAATGCAGGTCTGCTTTCCGTTTGTTGGGTAAATCTGTCTATCTCCCGTACTTCCGATTTGGAAGTGAGACCTGGACAGGGCCCATGAGAATGCATCTGGTGCATCGAGTGTGGCGTACAAGCTAGCTCCAGCGTCGATCCCGTAGCAGAACGAATTCCCTTTACTGCCAGTTTCAGCTTCAGCGTGGAATGTAACATGGCCATCAGCAACAAGATTGACGCTGCAAGAGTCAAGGGAAACAAAGTCGTCGTTAAAGTCGATACCGAAGGTGATAGTAGGCTTCACAGAAGCACTTAAATAACCACTAAGCGAAACGCCATACCCAAACTCGGGTTCCAGAACGTTCTGAGTCCCGTCCTTTTTGAGACTGATCTCGGCTTTAGGGTCCCAGTCGTCGTTTGCAACTGGGTATGTCTGACGAACATCCCACTCAGCAAGCTTAACCTGGCTCTCAAAGTTTACACCAAGTGTAGCCTCTCCCTCAAGCCTGCCGTACAGCTTGAAGTTAGGGCCAACAGTGACAATGCCAGGAACTGAGAAGGTAGCCCCGAACTTATCTGCAGAGAACATGAGGACATCTTCGGTGTCAAAACGAGCTGTGACAGTTGCGTCAACCACGAACTTGGCACGAACTTCGCCTTTGTTGCGGAAGTAAAGGTATGAGTCGCTTATTTCGATACCCGATTTCCCTCCAAGCGTAGCTATGAGCGTAAATCCGTAGCTGGTCTCAAGGTCGACTTCGGTTTGTGCAGAGACTTCAAGCTTTCCATCCACGTTTATGTCTGGACATGTGAACCTCTGGTCGACGATGCTGAGCGTGAATTCATCGTTGTACTTATGGCTGCGGCCGGCACCTAAGCCACTGTTCTTGCCACTGACAAGTTGTTTGAGCCAATCGAGCACATCGTGGCCAAACCAGCGTTTATGAAGCTCCTCCTTATTCAGGCTGCCGAAATGTTTGTCATCGCGCCATTCCTCCTCAAGCCAGCGTCTGTGAGAACCGCCTACATCCTCGAGATTCCTTTTGGCATGTCTCTTTAGAGATCGCTTCTTTTTGTCCGCCGCCTTATTGACCACTGTATCCCAATAACCGTCTTTGTTACTGTAGTCTATTCGCATCTGAGTGGTTCCCAGATCACGAGGGACACGCTTAAAATTGTAATCGAACACAAGGTCGTAGACTTGTTCAGAGGATTCAAGTCCACGACGTGCAAGGTGAGGAGGTAGCGTTTGGTTGCTGCTGGGCACCATATGCTTCGCAACAGCATATCGTCCTGGTCCGCATCCATCAGGCATTTCCAGAATGGTACCCGGAGCGCCATGACCTAAGTGAATTTTGTCGCAATTGGAGTTTTCGCTCCGATCGGTACATGCCATGCGTACCCGATGTTCGCCGACAGTTGTGGAATCGAAACAGTCAAACACGTCCCAATGGGAACCATCGCGCTTATCAATAGAGACTTGGAGTTCCTCGGGGCTTGTCATGACAACGAAGCCAAACGCCGAGTTCTCGGGATCCTCTGCAAAGCCTGTCTCAGAGCCTCCGTAAGTGCTATCAACCTTGAGGGTCCAGTCCGTATCAGCGCTCTCCTTGTCTGGAGGGTTCTCAAAGAGATATTCAAGAGGAACTGGGAGAAACGGCGACTCCCCTTTGGGGGGGTCACAGCAGAAGGTTCTCTCACGGAGATACCAGCTGCCACAAGTATCGCCTTCACCGTCATAGGAATTGGTAAGGGACACCTGCCAACCTGTATCGCAGTGGTTATCGTAGCATTTTCCCTTTTCGCCGTGCCACTTGCAGTTACTCCACTCCTCGTCTTTGCTGCAGCAGAATCGCTTCCATTTATTGCCGCCACAGCTGTTGTACTTCCAAGTCAACTCGTTCTCATCCGAGTGGCACTCCTTATCGCAATCTGTCCATCTGCAGTCAGGTATCTTGGCTTCGGCTTCGCAGCACAGGAACTTATGACCATCTGTACACCAACCGGCTGTATTGCCGGCACCAAACTTCGAGGACTGTATCGCAACCTCACCATCGTGGCAGCGACCGTTGCACCAAGGATCGTTACCTCTCCAAGTGCTATAGACAGGTTAGCGACTTCAGATAGAATTTAGTGGTTTTCCGCGATTTCCAAAGTCAAATACTGACTTTTCCCCTCACCCTACAGCTTTGAGTCATACTCGTAGCTTGCTCGCTTCCCGGCTACCTAGGTAGCCAGTGCGTAGAAAGATTATTCCCACAAAACACAAAAGCACTGCTCAGCAGCCCCCGTGGGTTGAGGTTGCGGGTAGCAGGAAAGTTGGCCTCCGAAGTCTTAGGGTGTAAAAATAAAGAACCTAAAAGTCTTGTCTAAGCCGCATAAGCTGACCTAATAATTTCGTCCCATGCTTCTGGTGGCCAATTTTTCTGTACCCTGCGGCTTGGTCAAATGTGATGTCATCAGTGCTGCGACGTATCATGTGGCAGGTCACATGATGCATACACCAAGATGCGATAACAACGAGCTATAAGTATAGAAAGAATACTGAAACTTTGAAAATCGTTGAAAACCCACACAAAAAGAAAACAATATACTGACCATTTTTTGGGGTTGGGGGCTGACGAAAAGGGACAGCAGACGCTTTGCTTACGGAAGTCCTTGCTGCACTGTGGGTCACTGATCTTGATCTCGCCTGATCGGCATCCAGTCACTCCGCATTCCGTTAACCGGCAATGACCTTTCTCAAGACTTGCCCAGTTGTCTTTGGTCGACTTGTCTTTGTACTCTCTCAATCTCTTGGGATATAATACAGCAGACAGGGCATCAAGGTCTTTGGTGTCCAAGTCAATGGCCCAAATGAGCACACCGCCGAGTCCCAGCGAGTTGGCAAATTCGATCTTTTGCTGGAAAGTATCGAAGTCGTCAAAGGATATCCACTGATCATTGTCGCACGTGGTATACTTGACCGCAGCCTTCTCGTCATGGTAAGGCGTGAGATTATTCTTTTTGATTATATCCATAATCTCAAAATATGCTAATGTCCCCGAACTGGCAGTACAGGGTCCTTTGGCACCGCCGCCCTTGAATAAACAGCCTGGTGTATTGCATGCGGGATCTGCGAGTTGGAATGATCTACCATAGAAGCCCAGCCCCATATTGACCTTGGCAGGATCGACCTCGTTACGCCAGAGAAGATCCAAGGCGAGCTCAATCTCTGTCAGGTTTGAATGAGAAAGCACTTTAGAGCCTATAGGGTTTTTGGCATCCCATACGCCATGCAAATCATAGGACATGACGTTAATATAGTCAACAGCCTCGGCAGATGATTTTAGGTGAAAGTGCTGCAGGTACCAATAACTTGTGGGTGCAGTGAACGAGATCTCCTTGTGGCCGCCAGATAGGTTGAAGTCGAATGAACTTCGCATCGTTTTGAAGAGTTTTGTTAGGTTTTCGCCGTCGTCCTTATGGCCGCCTCGATCACCAGCGCCTGGGTACTCCCAGTCAATATCCACACCATCGAAGCCATACCGTTCCATGAAGGTCTCAAGCTTGGCGACAAAGCGTAACCGCTTAACCTCACTTGACACCAGATCACTAAAGACAGGCTGGTAGATTGTATGGTTGTCGTTAAATGTCCAGCCGCCAAGAGCGATAATGGCCTTAAGGGAAGGGTTCTTCCTCTTAAGACCTGCAAACTCGGTGAAAGTATCAGTACTTAGCTTGCCATCCTTAGCATCATCCATAGGGACGATATCATAAGTATCAGGCGTAATATAGGCAAAGGAATAGTAGATATGGGTAAGACTGTCAACCGGTATGTCTTCCATACTCATGCCAATGCACTTTTTTTTATAGTTCCACGCTTCGTAGTAACCGATAATGCGTTTCTGAACATCGCCTCCTGAAGAGCCTGATCCAGGCTGTTTGCATTTGCTCTGGCAGCCTTTGTCTTTCTCACGAGACTCTTTGCAGAATTCGCCAGTCATACCACAGAACCCGTACTCACTACAACAAACATTCAAGGGACAGAGCTGACCCTTGGTCTTTGCAAACCGACCACACTCAGCATGAGCGTCGCAGTTGCTCCAACACTTGTCGTTGGGAGATTTACCGTTGGTTCCGCAGAAATTTGGACCATATCCACAGACGCCATTCTTACCACAGCAAGCATGGTTGCTGCAGGGTTTGTTCTGGTCACAGGCGTAGGGGTCATCCGGGTCGGGTTCTGTAGCAGCGGCTATCTTCATAGAAGCGATGGAGAACTCGACCTGTCGCTCACAAGTTTCGCCGCGGAGTTTTGCTATCATATCGTTCGCAACCGTCAAGGTCTCGGGAATTGGGGGGCATACAGGCTGCGATCCACCATCCATGGAAACACGAGACTCGAGGGCATTCTTGTGAAGGTTGTGGAAGTGCTGGTGATGGTGGTGGTGGTGGGGGGGAATGCCCAAGACTGAGGTTGGACTGAGTGCCAGCACGGCAAGTACTAGATACTTGAGAGGCATTCTTAGGTAGGTATCAGAAAAATTGGCCGCCCGACGCGTAAGAGACGAAATTAGTAGGCCAGTTTATGCTACTTAGATCAGACTTCTTAGGCTGTTTATGTTTGTACCAGAAAGCCTGGATGGAGGTCGCAAAAATGACAAGAAGTATTGCAGATTTCTTTGATTTTTCTATTCCCGGAGGTATGCATAAAATGCAAAAGATGTATGCTGAATGACTATGCAGTAAAGACGGACTTGAGATTGCAAATGAAGGGGGGAGGGAGATGATGAACGGTGTCAGTCAAACACAACATGGTGAATCAACAGCCATTTTAATAAGAAGAGGAAGATCAAGATAACAGTCCTATATAGGTATACTCAGGCCTTGCAAGTCCTTATCCACCACAGACGAGGCGAAAAAGAATTCCATGGCTGTTCGTTAACCGTCTCCCGAGGTCAAAGGGTTAAGTCCTATCCGTACAGCGCATGATTCAATTCGAAACCGGATAGTCATGTCCTTAGCTAAACTGAGGCCTCAGCATGGGTAGTTGGTTTAGTTTGATTATTATCTGTTGGTTGTTTGTGGAGTAATAACCTTGGCGTAACTTCTGCTTCCATAAATGTCTTGTTTAGAATGTTGTGATAGGATACATCGTCTTTGAATTCCATCGCAATGCTACCGAAAGAAGATCCATGGGAGACAACCAACAGCGGGTCTTTACTTTTAGGATCTGCAGGGACTTTGCCTACCTATGCAGGGGTATTACCGAACGGACCGAACCTATGGGGTGGTAGCCGTTGGAATAGCACTATTTTAGAACGACCTCAAAACAGTCTTTGTTTTAATATATATACCATTTTATCGGCCTGTACTTCGTACATATTCTGCCATCTCGATATATATGTATATATATAAATTCTTTATAGCTTCTTGTTTGCAAGCAGCCTAAGCACTTATAGCCCACCAGATGTTACTTGAGTCAAGTTTGGCCAGCTCGGGCCTCTACAAGGGTCAATCCAAGTAAATTAGACTCCTTTCTCGTGGATCTATACAACAACCAACAGCTTTTCACTCTTAAAAAAGAAAGAATCTACTCCTCAGCTGTTAGTTCTAAATATTTTATTCGAGCTTAACCATGTTAGGCAGTCCGGTCACAGTAGACGGCAGTTTTGTACGGAATCTTTTGACCGATGTTTTAAACCGAATACAGTTCCTTTAAGTAAGCATCATGTTTTTCGCCTTTCCGTTTCTCTTTCTTATTTGACATACTATCCGATCCTATAAGCCTGCCCTTAGATAAGGCATCTTTGGGTTCTTAGACATGGCTAGGTTTCTGGCTTTTTTGCTTCTAGCGACTCTAACAGGTAGCCACAGTGCTGCCTGGCAGTTGGTCACAAAAGATGCTCTTCCTTCAGACGACCTTTCCAATAAATGTATCGATGCTCTAGTAGCAAACATATCATGCCCTCAACACATCAGTACTTTCCCCAGTACAGACTACGTCTCTGCTTCTTCTTTGGAAGAGGCTTGTACATCAGCCTGCCGAACTTCTCTGGCAGAATATACAGCTAGTCTCAAGAGTCAATGCTCCGAGCAAGATGTCGTTGTATGGAATCCGAACTCGGCTGAGCATGAGCACGTTTCTGTTCTTGGAACCACGCTCTTCTACCACTTCAACCAAAAATGCATCAAAGATGACCAGCGATGGTGTAATGTTTGGGCGCATGAACAGTCTGGAGATAAGGAAGAAAGCTCCGCCGAACCTTCATGTAAGTACAACTCTCTAGGTATTCCATAACCGATGGTTTATAAACTTACTGACTAGAGCTTCCACAGCAACGACAGCTCGCGAGTGCGACAACTGTGCTATCAAACAGATGCAATTACAAGCAGGATCGCCAGATGGCTACGATCTACAGCCAGATTACAAGTCTCTCACTGAAAAGTGCCAAAAGACGGGATTCCCGCTTGCCACTACAGTCTCCAGCAATAGGTACGTGTATTCCTTCCTTTCAATTATATAACAGACGATTCTAACAATGTTCCGCCCAGTCCGACATCAGTATCAACGGCTAAGCCTCAGAGGACCTGTGACGGAGATGAATATATCATCAAGGAGTCGGATACCTGTAGAACTGTCTCCAGGTCGCTGAATGTTGCAACAGCCCTTCTGCTGCGCGACAACGACTTGCAAGCCTTTTGCGCTGATTTCCCAAGCGAGGGAAACAGACTGTGTATTAAGAATAAGTGCAACGTGCATGTTGTTACAAACGATGACACATGCGCAAGCATCGCCAAAGCAGCGCAGATCAGCCAAGTGCAACTATATACATGTAAGCTCCCAGCCACGGTCATAGCATGTCATTTTGAGTCTAACACCTTCTAGGGAATCCGATTCTAGGCGATGCTTGCAGAAACATTGCCAACTCTGTCGGTGACACTGTTTGCCTCGAGCCTCCTGGCGATGAAGAATACACCCCTCTTAAAACTTCCACACTTGAAAGCACTACATCGACTGCTGAACCATCCGCTGCCCCAGTTCCATCAGATATCGCAAACGGGACGACAAAGCACTGTGCTCAGTACTACCGAGTGGTGACTGGCGATTACTGTAATAAAGTTATTGTCAAGTATAGCATTCCCCTTGAGGACTTCCTTTTCCTTAACCAGGGCGTTAACCAAAACTGTACAAACTTTTTTGCGAAGGAAAGTTACTGCATTGAACCAGCCGGACCTATCGAGAAGTACCGCGATCACCCAGATTATGTTCCTCCATTGGAGTCCGTTTCGGAGATACCTTTTGATTCACTTCCCGAGGCAACATTTACTGTTCCAAGGATAACAGATCTGCCAAAAAAGCTTCCATTGGCAGAGGAAACTCGCAATGATTGTTTCCTTTATGCCGATGGCTCTGATCTTCATTCGGACTCGTCGTGGCTATTCGATGTATCCGAATGCGAGAGACTTGTCCCGGTTTGGGGGATCACCCTAGAAGAGCTGCAAAATTGGTCAGTGCTCTGATATGTCGCACAACACTATCCTACTACCGATCTAACGTCTTCTTCTTTGATATGCTTAGGAACCCCAGTCTCAACACATCATCGGATAACTGTGAAATGGACGTCAAGTACAGGTACTGCATGAAAGCCCATAGAGAAGACGCTCCATCACCGGCGCCTGAAGACGACAGTACGGCACCATCTGCAACTACCAAGTCAACTACATCGAGCGCAATCCCGTCATCTACTGAACTCCCAATTAGGGTGAGTCGTCCGCATAACGTTTTTGGCTTATCTCCATCGAAGATGTTTTACTGACCTTGTGATCAGGATGGCGTTGTTGAATCTTGTAAGGAGTACAAGCCGTTCCTCGCTCCACACACATGTCAAGATATGTTGGATGACAATAGTATCACCATTAAAGAGTTCTACAAGTGGTATGTTATATCTCGCAGCCTTTTGTATCATGAACATCGCTGACGGAATGGAGGAACCCACCTGTGGGAGCTGAGTGTGGTAACCTTTGGCCCGGTAAGACCTGAGAAGATATCTGTATACATGGTACCAAAAACTAATAATTGCGTTAGGATATCGATACTGCGTCAAAGCGTAGGCATCGTTCCGAGATATATAAGTAGCAGGGCATCTTGGCCTGAGACCAGAAATGCGCGAACGAGCTGTGTGCGGGGTTGTTGGGGAAATTGAGTTGAATGAGAAAGTTCATAAACGTGTTTATGTTGGGTTAGAAAGTCAAATTTAAGGCGGATGGCCTGAAGTCAAAGGCTGCCTGACTATACCATTAGATATTGAATGACATAGTTTTAGCTAAGGTACTCTCCCTTTATAAGCAATAGCGACCTCCTGGTTTCAACACAAGCTCGCCCAACTTGGGACCCTGGGAGCTTCCAAAAATTCTTGTCGTGCGCGATCCGATGATGGGCGCAAGTCCATCAGCCACGAAAAGGACAATCATTCGCTGAAATCATCATCCAGGCTGCCATGCCTTCCCCGAACAGTCGTGGAACGGTCGCCCATGCTACTTTCATCTTCAAGGTCCGGACAATCCACGTACTCCTCATCTGCATCCTCCTCTATTTTGATGACGGAAGGTGGTCTGCTAACCGTTTCCTGTGGCTTATTCATCTCGGTATTGCCATCGCCATCGCCGCCATTAGTCACTTCTTCCTTTTCCATCTGTGTAGATTGAAAGTTGACGTATTGTGATGTGAGGCATCGATCCTTATGCCAGACGGCGAATTCCAGGGAGGACCCGTCACTGATCATACGAAGGTCGTAGCCGATTCGGCGAAAGGCAATACCATCTGCGCTGACCTCTTTTCGCAATTTGCTATATATCTGGGGACTCAAGGAAACTTTGATGACGCACAGCGTCTTGACCGATTCGTCCTTTCGGGCTAGAGGCTCGGCAGAATCGGAGATGACAATCTCTATCTGTAGACCCTGTTCGGGGCTTACGAGGGCCTGGTAGCAAGAGAAAGACGCTGGTTTGTAGGTAGATACTGCATCACCCTGAAAACCCGGTTAGTACTTGGAAAAGGGGGCTGAGTTGGTGCTGACTCACAATTCCGATGTACCACTCAGTTTGATCAACCGCAATCCAATTCTTGTCATAAGGGCAATATTCACGGTCCCGAATGTCATGCTTTTCTTCGTCAAATGGGCTGTTGTTGAAGACGGTGCCATAGTTGTGTCTCGAGATCCGAGAGTCGACGACAGCAGTGATTGAATCGGCGAATCCGGTGCGCGATAGCCCGTGAAGAACGGTACCGCGAAGGACGGCAGACCAGCTAGAGAAGGATCAGGGCGTGAATCAATCAACAGTAGTGTTCAGGAATATACTCACGGGTCATTCCCTCTCTTCTGGATGATTTGTGATTTCTTTCCAAATGTCTCATCGAGACATTCGTACAAGTACTTGGATCTCCCGAAGCCTCCAACCAGGAACACCAACTAAACTGTTAGCACAATGAGACAGTTCATATTGGTGGACAGTCTCACTTTGGGAGCCTTCTGGTATCCCTCCTCGACCTGTCTGATCTGGGTCGTGATTAGTTCTTTGATTTCTCCAAATCACGGGTTTGTACACCTGTTCGCGGATAACGTCTCTAGAGAGTCCATTAGCCTCATACTATAGATTATCCTCGGAAGGTAGTTTAAGAGACTCACGCCTGAAGTGAAAATGAAGGGGGGAAGAACTGGGGATCGACTAGTCCATTGTAGACAAGATTGATGTCGTATTGGCTACTTGACTTGCAAAGCGCAGTTTTGATACCGGACTCCCAATCATCCTTCATGATCCTATGACCAGCCTCACTTGCAAGCCTTCTTGTGATGTCTTTGGGAATCGTTCGTCTGAGTAGCTCGAGAAACTTTTGGTCGAGAAAGATGCCACCGCATAGGCCACCTTGAGTTATTAGCATGATACTTGACGAAACTTGAAAGAGTATTTTTACCATCTCCTTTGACACTTTCGCTGACTACAAAAGGGGTAAATTTCTCGATTTTGTAGGTGATTATGTCCTGAGATTTGGTGAGTAGGTAGAGCATGAGCAAGGAAGGAAAGGAGAATAAGGGAAGAAAGGCAGAGGGATTAGTAGTAAAGACTTACAACAGTGCCGCCGCCTGCATCGCAGACAATGAACTGATCGCCGACCTACACAAGATGAGTCAGTAGAGATTAGACAGGAAGGATATGGCCATCTTACCTCAGGAGTGCACCGGCCTACATTTTCCCTGAGACACGTCAAGGCAGCTGCCTCGGGCTCAGAAATGAAGCCATACGTCGTGTTTCCCTCCTTCGCCACTTCAAAAAGGCCAGCGATCTTCATGGCCTCGAGCATTCGCGACCGGACATAATGAGGCCAAATCGCAGGCAAAGTGACAACGAAATGGATATGGTAGATGTTCGCCCATCCCTTCTCCTCAGAGGCCTCGATTCTCTCACGGCTGTACTCCCAGAGATATCGAAGATAGTCACTAAAGACTTGCACGGGCGCCTTGTTGAGCTTTTGCATCAGTTCTCGTGCGGTTTTCAGGTGTTCGCAATCTCGCACATTTGCGGGGAGATCTCTTTCGTTGACAAGCAAGAGTTTGAACCAGCGCAGGATGCCATCTCCGAAGCGTGTCATGTATCCCCATGAAGGATCTTTGTTGATGTTATCACCGTAGAAAATGGCTGACGGGGCCTTGGGGGAATCGACACGGTAGTTTCTTATGGTCGTCCAGTCTGTGACGGTCTGGATCGAGTCCAGCTCTCTGTCACCAGATTTCCAAGCGATACCCGAGTATCTGAGTGAAGTCAATATCGAAAAAAGAACAAAAAAACAACTCTTGACAAAGCACCTACGTGGTGCCGAAGTCGATCGCTATGACCAACGTCGGTGGTCCCTCGGTCTTGGGAGCCATCTGTGTTTCACTGGTGTGCAAAGGAAGCCCCGATCATGTAATCGACATGAATAGTATAGACGACCCAAGATAGTAAGCTTGGTTCGAGGTAGAGCATGCGAGTAGGGAGGGGTGAGTCTCGAGTGGATAGTGAGAAGCCACGAAATTTTGGCTGCGCGGCATTGAAGTGTTTACGTGCGTTGGTGGAGGAGAGGGGGTTATGAGCACGTTGATTCAGATCTAGGCAACAGTGGAATAGATTTTTATTTTAGCAATTGTTTATCTTCCATTTTCCTGCCTATTGTTGCGGCAGGCGGCTTCGCAATCAAGACCTCATCTATTCACCAACACTTCACAACTGCAGCTGAGACTAAACGAATACCTGGAATTAACAAGGTACACGAGGAGCTTGAGAATTAAATCTGCTATTTGGATTATTTTATGAACGTGTTGCTAGTTTTTTTTGCTGAAGACGTTAGTGATGAATATGTGAGTCTCATCTTGGTCACCCCTTTTCTGTGATTAGGACTTGATGTTGACATATAGGCTCTCAGCCTGCCTACTTATTGGCAGTGTGCATGTTTAATTTGGCGCTACTCTATACTAACTGATTTTTGTTGGTTTTATTATAGGGATGCCTTGATATCACCAGCTGGCTGTCAGTGCTTGCTACTGACAAAGCAGATGCCAGCAAACACTGCATACCAGCAGCAACGAGTGTTACTTTTGGACCAATCAACAACAGCTTTTTCGGGATATAAATTATTGAAAAGATTCTTCAAGATGAACACAACTTTGGTGCGATATTCTACACATCCCCCGCGGGTCTAGGACCAATATTGATTGGATCGTCGAGGAGTGGCAATACCAACCCCAACTCTCTCGGCCCCCATCTCCTCTCGCAGTATATCACAGTGCCTCTTCCTTCTCCGCCCCAATATCCTACCACCGCATCGGCATGACCGTGTATTGGCCAGCTTGTCTAACAGCAAACGCATAACATTCTTTCATTAGACGGGTCCGTATTCACAACCTCAATACAAGATGAGTGATCATACTCTACACTCGTCGCCCGTTGATCTCGATGACAGCTGACCCTAACACAGATATCCTAAGTGTTCAGCGCATTGTCGTCACCCAACGGGCACTACTTAGGTAAACTTACATCTAATGAGCTGCCACATTTACCTGAACTATCCTACATGGAGATGACAGGACTTGGCAGAGAGGTCATCTCTACACGATAGTTCAACTACCGGTCGTCCTGGCTTCTACTAGCAAAATGTTTCTTCACAAGCATCAACCAAGTAGCGAAGATGAAGCATCGCCACAATCCATCGATCACCTGTTACAAAGTCCAAGCTTAACTCGTGTTGGTATCAAAATCCCACTGCTGAAACCTGAAACTCGATCGCGCTATCTCACTTAATGCCTATTTTTGTGCTTCTGCGAGGGCACTGATATATTAACTAGCCCTCTAAAGAAGAGCCAAGATCCAAGTTCCAACATAGTTTCTTTTTTACTTTCTGTTTCACGATTCAAGTCTTGCGCTCAGACTCGCCCGCGATTGTCCGAAGGATGAAACTTGTCTGTCGTCGGGATATCGCTGTCACGAAGATGAAAGTACTCCAAAGAATTCACCTTACTGTGTCGCGCACGTTTATGCCTACGACCCCGTGCAGTATCAATCTGGAACGGCAGCGTTGATAAGCTTGAGCACGTGCCACGATGAGGTGAGAGAGGGAAATGTTGGAAATAGCTTCTAACTGCGAGTCAGGACCTTGTGGAGCTGCTCAACCAGACTTGCTCAACAGACATAATCTCAAGACTCAGACAGAACCCCAGATCCTGGTGTTTATCATCCTGTGGGATCTTGCAGGTCTTTATCTACCTGGTAGAACGCGTACATCTTAATATATCTTCAGCAACGAACCGCTCCACCCATCATCAACAGCCACCGCAAGTACCAGCTCGTAGACGTTTTAGCACAGGACTAAGAGATTCAACAGGGCAATTTGAATCGCCGATCGTTCAACACAAGAGGCCGAAACTTGACGGGTTTAATTTCCCCCAGACGAAGATCACCAGCTTACTGTAGGAACCATTACTCGAGAAGCACGCTACAGAGAAGATCTGGTACGAGTATCTCACAGTGCAGCGCTTGCATGATGGTCAAAGAAGTTATGTTTCAGGGTCCAAGTATCTGTACACGCCAAGATCTGCGGGCAAAGTCCACGATAGTAATATTATCAGCGCCAATCTCTATTCCCAGTGCAACTCTCTTTTAGCACCAGCGTTTGAAAACGGTTGCATCGGAGAGGTCAGCAGTATGATGACGAAAAATGGTGGATGAACTATTGGTTTTTTGACCGCTTCTTGTGACTGTTTCTTCATCTTAGTAAGTAATGTTTTGTTTCTAGAGCCATCAGTTCGTGCAAAGTCAAACGCCTTGGCCGTCCATAGCTCCAACGTTGAACGGATTTCCCCTGGCGTTGTTGGTCTTGGTTTATTTTTGCTCATTCCCAGCCACATTTCCATCAGTTCCAGTACCTCGACATCATGCGAGGCGCCCTCAAGAGGTCCAAGCCCAAAAGGAAATTGAGCCCAAAGCGAAGCGAAGAGCAGAACGTGCGTTTTTTAGCCTCTCCACAAGCAAGGATCTTATCACATCACGCAAGAGAAAGAAACCAGTTAGTTACTGTAACTGTACAATACATCACAATTCCTGTCAGGTCTGTTCTGTGTCTTGGAAAGGCCTGAGACACTGACGCTATTTGACACGAGATATGTCTGTCACAGAGTGATTTACTTTTCAGCTGTTGGTCGAAGCTAGTATCGCAGCTAGAAACAATTAGTCAACATTAGTAGACGAGGCTAGACATTGAATAGAGTCCACTTTTGAAAAGACGGTCAATTGATGTCTACCTCGGTATAGTAGAATGAATGACTGACTACTTGACAGTCATCGTCCCTTCTCACAACGTGTAATAAAAGCGAAACATTGGGGAAATAATCATGCCATGTGTATGTATGTAAATATGTGATAAAGGATATGCAAACCCGTTTAATTCTCCATATCGTTGGTTGCTTTTTCGCACGTGCATCCAAGTATGCCGGAGCAAAAAGAAACAAAAGGTTGCATTAACCATAGGCCCATTCAGTGAAAAGCAAAGTAAGACATCATACCGTTACATTCAAAACCCCGTACAGTATCTCAAAGCCAAGCCCAGATACGGATACTTTTCGACCTTGACCTTTTCTACCACCCCCAGTCCCAGTCTCAGTCTCCATTTTCACGATCCACAGCTAATCCTAATCCCGTCTCGGTGGGGTTTTCTTCGTTTCCCCTGAGTGTAGTCAAGTGTAGTAGAGCTTCCTTCCGTTGGTTGTGCGTTTTCTAAATAAAAGGTAATACACTTGACTCAGGAGATGGCGGAAATAGAATTAATTATTGACAAATACGACTAGTCTGTAATAAATGACAGCAGCACAGTATTGTAAGAGACCCCAAGTACATACGCGTACATACAGACCCCAAATCCTTCAATTGATCCTCTCATATTCTGTGCCGTCCGTAACCTCACTAATAAGCTGAGCTGGACCTGGGGGTGATTGCATTTCAAGGGGTAGATCTCAATAATAAAAAATATGAATTTCCCTATCGAGTTGAACTAACAGCGACAGGGGGGAACATCAATCACCCCACGTGCTCAGGGGATTCTCTTTCCACTGTCTGTCTGTACCTTGACGGACTATCTCGTGTAAATATTCAACAAATGTTCAATTCTGTAGTCTATAAGCGAGCCGAAATAATGACGGGACCATCATTATACGTCAATGCTTTTCATTCTTCTCTCCTTCTAGAACTTGCTTAGTATATAATACCAGCCTCGCTCATATCTTGAGTGACATCCCGAGATTACCTTGAGAGGCTACTGCTATTAAATGTCCGTGGACTTTGTCGATTCAATTTCCCACCTACCGAATGCGGCAAGTACATCTCGTCTACTTTGAATCTGCCCGCCATCCTACGTCAGCATCATGTACTTCCCCAGTATCTCTCACTTATACCCTGTCGTGATTTGACTTATGGTTCCTCTCCCTCATCACCGCAACAACAGAAGCAAAGAGGAACAGGGGAAGCTACCATTCGAGTTAGTCGAATCGATAGTCGTTTACATACACTTTGTTGCCAAGAATTATACACACAAACTACAGTTATTCCAAATCCGGTGGTTCTCAATGGAAGAATCGGCATGTAACCAGAAACCTATAGACGAAAACAGTTATAGAGCACAATAGCTAGCACTCATCAATACCCTTAGTTTTAGCCCTACAAGCCTCCATTGTGCTTGATGTTGTCGGTGGCTGCAGAGTTAAACCCCAGATTCAGGTACTTGCACCGGTCGCGCCGAGCTAAAGCAACCACTTCACCGCATCTGTTAGCGCAACCTCGAGCATAATGCATGCAAACCATTCTCAGACCCAACGTAGTATTCACAGAATAGACCAATTGTAAATGTTGTAGGTATTGTTTGTTATATTCATTCGTGGTATTGTTTATTGATGCATTCCCTTTTTTTCACCGTCTTTTTGCGGCTGGGTTCATCTTCCACCTATCCTATCTGACAAGAGACCTGTCCAAGGTCATCCACGCTTGCAAAGCGTATGTGTGTGTATATGTGTATCAATATGTCTAAATCCCAAAGAACGCCGCTTGCTCAGTTTCGAGTGGTGAGTTAATACAATACAACGCCGGCTTCTTTTCTTGTCCAGCAGAAGATATCCCATGAGTGCGCCTGGTGCCCTTTGCCCTAAGACCCTTTTGGGCCGGATACAGAAAATAGTAAGACAAAGGAAAATATTAGAGGCGTCTTGCACCCGCTATCCGTTTAGTTGCCCAGTCATAATTCGTAAATGTACAAAAAAGCCAAGTGTTTGTGTTGAGTATGTGTTGCTTAAACCTTGACGCTTCGTCGTCGCGCGGCTGCTGCCAGTCCCTGCCTTAGGCGGCTGCGGGT